CTTTCTGACTTTCTCTAATGGAGAAGAGTATAGTCCTCTCCCTTCTGTCTGTGGTTCATGTGCTTGTAAAAGAACAGTTCCCTGGGTCAGCATGTAGACCCTTAGGAAAAAAAGCATCACCTCTTCCCTGTCCCCAGCTCCAGGGCAGACAGGGAGCCCAGAAAGGATAGTGGTTGAAGACTTGTCACCCAACCCCACCCACAAGGGCTCTGGTGTCCCACATGCCACAAATTGCCGCATCCCACGCAATATGCCCCCTGATTCTGGGACCTGTGTTTATAGAGCAGCTCAAAGGTATGTCACCTATCTATCTCTTAACCTCACAGGCTGTCTCTGTTGAAATAAAATTTTAAGAAACAGAACATTTATAGAAGGCATTTGAAATCGGGGTTGGCTACAAAATCCAGATTCTAGGCAGCACCTGATGGCATTAGAAGCACAGTATTGTTGGGCATCTGGGTGACTCAGTCAGTTAAGCGTCCAACTCTGGCCCAGGTCATGATGTCGAGGGTCGTGAGTTGGAGCCCCACTGACAGCTCAGAGCCTGGAGCCTGCTTTGGATTTTGTGTCTCCCTCTCTCTCTTCCCCTCCCCTGCTCACACACACACACACACTCTCTCTCTCAAAAATAAATATTTAAAAAATATATTAAACAAAAGAAGTTTAGCAGTGTTAATACAATGCCTTTTATTGAGTACCTAGTCTATGTCCCGCCAGGTGTTAACTCACACTCATGGTGTGCACTGGGCCCCCACTGTACACTAAGGGAGATGTTGAGTCTTCCTGTATGTCTTGCAGGTACAGTCTGATAAAATCTATAGTCACAGTGGAACCTCTGTTGTGCAGAACAGATACTGAAGCCACAACTGATTGGTTTTGATTTTGAAAATAGAGCAAATAAGGCTTCCATATTATAGAATACATCAGCTGCAGCTGTAGCCACTTGTGGTTAGGGAAGCCAGTGTGTTCCTGGTGAGGTTGTGGCTTTGTGTAGAATGAAGAGGCTTATAAAGGAAGCCGTAGAAACCCCGGGTTCCCCAATTGCTGTGGTTCCGGAAACTGGGCAGTCAGTCAGCATCCATTGTCTTGACCGGATTGTTTAAGAGAATTTCAAGACAATCTGAAAACCCTGCCTGGCTCGATTATGTGGTTATTCAACATGATGCCTGGCTCGATTATGTGGTTATTGAACATGAGGCTTGCTCTTCTCAAGGTACACTTTAGGAACAATTGTGGGGAGAATATATCTGCGACTTTCATGAAATTCCTGTTCGTGACATTGTTAGGTTTCAAGGCCTTTTATATAGCAGAGATCAATGTGCAGAGGAAAGAAGTATCTCTTCTGGGTCGCTGGCTACATGACTATGCTGGGGAACGTTGTTAACCATGGTCAAGTTAATAAGTCCCACAAGTCCCACCGGTACCCACCCTTGTGCCAGCTGCACGGAGCTGCGAGGGCCGGGAGCAGTTTGAAAATTAGTGCCTGCTCTTAGCACGTCTGTCCATCTGACTTTCATTTGGAGGCTCTTGTGTGAAATCACTTTTGGTTTTTTCCATCCAGAGTCATGGTGTGATGAGCTCTTAGTGTTAGCTGCCCTGAGGAACTACCCCACTGTTTCCCGTGTGACCCCCTCAGTGAATGGCTCAGATTCCAAGGAACCTGTATTCTTAAGTTTGACCATCTGGAGCACATCCTGAGGTTCCCTGCAAACTCTCTCCTCTGGCCATTGACTGCCTCCTTCCTGTGAGGGCTTCCCAAAGGGAAAGTCACTCTGTCACACCCCAGGTTGCTGAATCACCGTCTGTGGGTGTGGCCAGGACAGGCCTGGTTTTTTTGTTTAAAGCTCCCCAGGTAATACTGATGTGCACCTCCCACTAGAATCATGCTTGTAATGATTCTATTGTATCTAAAAAAAAAAAAAAATTCTAGCCCACCTGAAATTCTTAGACAAGGACTAAACAATAAATTTGACATTTTAAATTCAAAGTGGTTAAAGTATTATGGAACACGTTTGTTGTCTTTTGATAACTCTTGGTATTACTCAGAAAATGCATCCCTGCTTCTGATGACATTTTCGTTGGAAAGGGCAAGGTGGAGGTGGTGGGGTGGGTGGAATTTTATAAGTGACAGAGTACTTTTTCTCCCACTGCCGGTCCCCGGAATTTGTTTTATTAATATTTGAGATTGCCTGTCCCCATCTACAGAAGAATGGAGGTTTGTCTGGAGCTCCCGCTGTAGGAAGAGGGACCAAGTGCACCCTTCTCTCCTGGTGCCTTCACCTACTTTGTGTTTCTGCTTCCTGCCGCTAAGCTGTGCCTCCAGTGGTCCCCTGAGGCTTGATTCTCAGGCGCCGGTCTGCTTTGTGCTCATCCCTTCCTTGCTGCTGATTCCCCAGTCTTGCTTTCTGACCCTGCCTGACATTTAGTGCTGCTTTTCCAGTTATCCGTGACTTGTTCCTCACAGTGTGAACCCCGGATCAGTGGCTCTGTCACCTGGGAGACTGAGAATTGCAGACTCCCGGGCCCCCCTCAGCCCCCCTTGCATTCTAGGTTGCCCCTGTTGTGTGCAGCTTACAGTGTGGGGAACCCTGGTCTAGGGGATGTCCCCACCTTCGTTCCATCCTCCTTCCTGCTCCCACAACCCAGGTTTGTCTTATCAGGTAGCACTGTTTTTCCAGGTGCTAGTCTTGGCTTCATTTTTCATTTCATTTTTCCTTTTACTCATTGAGTTGTTGTTCAGCTATTTCTTGGCTGCCTCCCAGAGCTGGGTAGGTGTTGGGAGATGCGGTGAGTAAAACCAGACCTGGTCCCTACCCTTGTGAAGCTTAGCTTCTGGTGGCAGAGGCCAGTGTTAAATACGTCACCAGCGGGGCGCCTGGGTGGCGCAGTCGGTTGGGCGTCCGACTTCAGCCAGGTCACGATCTCGCGGTCCGGGAGTTCGAGCCCCTCGTCGGGCTCTGGGCTGATGGCTCAGAGCCTGGAGCCTGTTTCCGATTCTGTGTCTCCCTCTCTCTCTGCCCCTCCCCCGTTCATGCTCTGTCTCTCTCTGTCCCAAAAATAAATAAACGTTGAAAAAAAAAAATAAAAAAAAAAAATACGTCACCAGCTGTAACTGTGGCATTGTCCTGAGCACCACACAGGAGAGCCTCTAACACAAATAGTAGTTATGGACACCAGGGAAGGCTTTGCTGAGGAAGTGATGCTTGTGCTGGGCACTGAGGACTGAAGAGGAACAGAAAGAACTTTCTAGGCAGAGGGAATAGCTCATGCAAAGGCCCAGCTCATCTTGGAAAGTTTGCAGAGAATTAACAAAAAAGAACATTAAATTGCCCTTAAGTCCTTCACCTTTATCTGTTCTTCCCTCCAACCTTGTCAGATTTACACCTCCTCCGTTCCCTAAGCTGAGGAGCTGGCCTAGACCCTTGTCTTTCCTGCCTGCGTGATGTGACCGTGTGCTCACTGCACACTTCCTCAGTCTTTTTTTAGTCTACTGCCCTACAGTTGCATTCACTAGAAAGACCTCTTTCCTTGTCGTTCCCTGAATAGAGAGTCAGATTTTAAACTAACTCCCTCTTCCTCCCTGTATTATTTTAAGTGAACTTGATATTGCAGTATACAGACAAGTACACAAATAAGTGTAGAGCTTGATGAAGCCTCACAAAGCGTGCACACCAGGATCAGTACCCAGATCAACAGACTATTATAAGCATCCCAGAAGTCTCCTGTCCACTTCTGGACACTGGTCACTTCCCACAGGGGTGACTACGCTTCTGTGCTCTGTTAGCGTTGATCAGTTTTGCCTGTTTCTGAACTTTATGCAAATGGATTCATGTTGTTGGTAATCTGTTGTATCTGGCTGCTTTTGCTCAACATAACGGAAGAATTCACTTGTGTTTCACATCACAGTGGTTCACTTATTTCCTTTGCTGTACAGTTAAGCATGGTATGACTATACCACAATTTCCCTCTGTTGATGGGCATTTGAGTCTTTTCCAGTTTGGGGCTATTATAAAAATTCTCATGCATGTCTTTTAGTGGGTAAATCTACATTTTTCTGTTGGGAATATGCCTAGGAGTGGAATTATGTCACAGAATATGCATATGTTCAGTGCTAGTAGCTTCTGCCAAACCGTTTTCCAAAAGAGTTGCGCTAATTTTCATTCTTACCAGCAGTGCCTGAAAGTTCCAGTTGCCACATACCCTGGCCAGCACTTGGTTTTGTTAGATTTCATTGTAGCCATTCTGGTGGGTATGTGGTACCATTACTTTGTGGTTTTAATTCGCATTTCTTTGACAACGAACATGGTTCCCATTTTCCGCCAGATTGCTTGTTTTTTTCTCTTACTGATTTACAGGAGCTCTAAAAAAATGTTTATTTATTTTTGAGGGAGAGAAATAGCATGAGCGGGGGAGGGGGCAGAGAGAGAGAGGGAGACACAGAATCCAAAGCAGGCTCCAGGCTCTGAGCTGTCAGCACAGAGCCCGACGTGGGGCTTGAATTCACGAGCCCTGAGATCATGACCTGAGCCAAAGTTGGACACCCAACCAACTGAGCCACCCAGGTGCCCCTAAATGGTGTCTTTTAATGACTGTAAGTTACTTAATGTAGTTTAATTGACCAATAAGTATCTTAATATTTTAAATCATTTTTACATGACATTTAGTTCCTTAAAAAAATAGTAGAGTTCACAAATATATACAAAAAGTTAAACATAAAAAATTAAAAGCCTGGGAAATATAAATTAGGTTTAGACCAGGGAGATAAAACACACAAATAAGCCATATAATTCTGTTAACATGTTATAACGGAGCAATACATTTTGCTTAGAGCCGCTTAGAAGTCGAATGGAAACACGGTCTGTTATCTGGTTCTCATTTGTCTGAGGCCTTCAGTTTTATGAGGATCAAAGCAGACACGGGATAGGTGGACTGTGAGGTGCATCCACACGTAGCAGGTAATTTTCATGTCAGAGAGCTAACAAGTGTACTTTCTGTTACAGGTTATTCAACGACAGTTATGACCTCCCGGTTACGTGCATTGGGTGGAAGAATTAATAACATACGCACCTCAGAATTACCCAAAGAGAAAACTCGATCTGAAGTCGTCTGCAGCATCCGCTTTTTAGATGGCTTGGTACAGACTTTTAAAGCCAATGTAAGGTCTCCAAATTTAATCTTTTCTGAATTAATGCTGTTAAGTCATAATGTTTCTTCATTTTATAAGCCAAGATATCAAAATTTTTTATTTTTAAAAAATTTTTTTTAACGTTTATTTATTTTTGAGACAGAGAGAGACAGAGCATGAATGGGGGAGGGTCAGAGAGAGGGAGACACAGAATCTGAAACAGGCTCCAGGCTCTGAGCTGTCAGCACAGGGCCCGACACGGGGCTCGAACTCACAGATGGCGAGATCATGACCTGAGCCGAAGTCGGACGCTCAACCGACTGAGCCACCCAGGCGCCCCTCAAAACTGTTTTTAAATGAAAGCTTGAGGTCTCAGATCTTGTATGTTGAGATTGGCCTGGAAATAACCCTAAAAACTTTGCTCACATTCTTGTTCACCTGGAGTGCCTTGCCCCCACTTCTTGGTGACACGAACTGAGTGACACTTCGATGTTACCTGTTCTGTGCCATCTTCATCAGCTTCCTGAGCTCGTTCTCCCATAATGGTTCCCTGTCTGCTTTATTAGAGCCCATGTCACATTTCGTTAATAGTCGTTATAATTACTAGGCTGTATGTTCTTTAAATTGTGAGCTCCTGGGGACAGGCATGGTGTCATCTCCCCTGGGCCCGGTCCAGGACCAGGCACATAGCAGGTGCTTATTATGGTATGAGTTCATGGGTCCAATCTGGACGGTAGTAAGATGTGTGCCTCATAAATGGCAGGGCTCAGGGAGAACCTGGCTTCTGCCACCTCAAGCTCATGACAGACGCAGGACTGGAAACGAGGCCTCCAGTATCAAGCCACCAGTGAGATCCTTGAACTGTAGCAGTCATGCCGTCCCACCCTCCCCCAGTCACCGTTTAGGCCCATGACCTCTGCCTGTCTCTCCCATACTCTGGCTGGTCCTAAGGGGGTCAACCCCAGTCCTGGACTGGCTGCCAGCATCTGCCCCAACCTGGAAAGTTCAGTGTGTAAGGAGAGGGGTTGGAAAGGGAAGATTGGGTGCAAGAGAACAACCAGGGGTAATAGAAGGCCACAGAAATTGAAAGGGTAACAAAAACTGGCCCCTGGGTCTTCCACCCCACCCCTAAGTTTGCCTCCAGCTGACCCCAGGTCACTATGGACCTTGATGGCTGAGCAGACAAGAGGGGAGGGCAGTTTGCAGGAAGTCACAGCATGGCAGTTTCTCTAAAAGGGTCACGTATGCCTCTTCCAGATGCTCTAAATTGACAGTACATGCCTGGCTCCTTTGTTGTTGGTTTGGGAGCTATTCCTTTGCTGTGTATCTTCTTTCTGACAAGAACGTGAGTGTTTATTCATCAAATGTTTACTGGGCACCTACTATGTGTCAGGCTTCATGCTGGTTATAAAGAATACAGCAGTGAACAGAACAGCCAAGTATGTGGCCTTTTAAAGCTTACGTCTAGTGTGAAGAAATGGACCATAAACAAATGTATACTGTGTCAGGTGGTATGTATTTAGAAGAAAAATAAAGCGGGATGAGGAAGGTAGTACCAGAGCAGGGCAGTTGTGGGGTTATCATTCTATAGAAGTGACCAGAGAAGACCTCATCTAAAAGAAATGAAGGAAAGAACTATGTTGTTCTCTGGAGGGAATGCACATTCGAGGTAAAAGAAGTAGCAGTGCAAAGGTCCTGAGGCAGGATCCCACTCAGTGTAGTTGCAGAGCAGTATGGAAGCTAGTGTGTCTGGAGTGGAATGAACAAGGGAGAGAGTAGCAAGAGAGGTCAGAGGTGATAGGTGTTGGGTTGGGGGGGGGGGTGGGTGCTGCGTAGAGCCTTATAGGTCATCCTGAGGGTGCTGGTTTTATTCTGAGGGAGGCAGAAACCATTGGTGGGTCTGGGCAGAGACCTTACATGATGTGACTCAAGTGTGACTCTGGATGCCCTGTCAATAGTAGACTGTTGGGCGGGGGGGGGGGGGGGGGCGAGGACTAAGGATATTATAACAGTCCAGGGGAGAGGAGGAGGAGGAGAGTTGGACAGGATGGTAGTGTGGAGGTGGCTAAGAATAAGCCAAGTCTGAAACTATTTTCAAGGCAGAGCCAGTGGGATTTGCTAATAGATGGAATTTGGGATGGGAAAGAGGCCCTCAAGGTGACTCTCAGGGTTGTCGGCCTGGGAAACTAGCAAGATGGAGTTGGGGTCGATAGAGATGGAAAAGGCTGTAAGAAGGGTAGGCTTGGGGGTGGAGATAACCAGTTCTGTCAAGGACGTGTTGAGTTTGAGGTGCCTGGTACTCGTCTACATAGAGATGGTGTCAGATCTACGAGGGAGAAGGTTAAGGGAAGCGTTAAGGCTGGGACGCAGATGTGGGGCTACAAAACGGGGTGAGGTCAGCTGGGAAGTGAGGACACAGAAGGTACGAACAAGGGTCCGTGTGGAAAGGTTTGAGAGACAAGAAATAGGCACTACAGGAGACAGGGACAGACTGTCCCAGGAAGGAGAAGGAGAGCAAGAGCCAGTGTCTGAGAATCCCAGGCCCGAACTCTTTCAAGGGGGAGTGAGGAGCCCTGTAAACAGGGATAAGGAAAGCGCCTGCCCAGAGCGATGATCCTAGAACATGTTCTGATGAACACGAACACCATTGTCCTTATCACACTGCTGCCATTGTTGCTTCCTCAAGCTTCCAGCAGTCCGGTCAAAGCTGACTCACATTGAACTTGAGTCTGAGGGCCTGGTGGCAGCTTAGAATCCCTGTCACTTTAGATCTTCTACTTGTAGGGAGCGTTGGCACCAACTCTTGAGCCCAGACCCCCTTATGGGCAGCAGCGGGCATCATCAGGAAGCTGGCCTATACATCACTTGTTCTTAGCCCATCCCAGGGAGCAAGCTGGTCACGGACAGTGACCTGGCATAGCAAAGATGGCCTCTGATGGAGTAGGGGACTGGGCTGGGAGGCTTGTTCTTTATAAATGTGCCCTTTATTATGTTTCAGTTCCTTTTGGGAACTGGGAAAGTTGGGGAAAATATACCAGAATGGGTGAGTTTTGCACTCTACAGGGGAGATGCAACATTGTGGGGACATGTAGCCTTTGGCAGCCAGCACACCATACTCAGGCAGGCAGACCGTCCATCAGCTGACAGCCTGGAGCCTCCCAGCACCTCTGTTTGCTCACGGCAAAGGGGATGCTAGTGATGACTTTGTGAACAGCCACAAAGATTCGAGATCATATATAAACAGTGCATGTCGTGTCATATCTGGCTCATTGTGGATATTTGATAGTTACTTATCTATTAAGTATAATATAAAATTCTATAAAAATTTTAACAAGGCGGGGCGCCTGGGTGGCTCAGTCGGTTAAGCGTCCAACTTCGGCTCAGGTCATGATCTCGCGGTTTGTGAGTTGGAGCCCTATGTCAGGCTCTGTGCTGACAGCTCAGAGCCTGGAGCCTACTTCAGATTCTGTGTCTCCCTCTCTCTCTGTTCTTCCCCTGCTCGCGCTCTGTCTCTCTAAAACAAAGATTAAAAAAAAATTTTTTTTTTTAATTAAGGGAAACCAAGGTCTTTGATGCACCAGGAGAGTATCTCCTAATTGAGGGGGACAGTATCTCATATTTTGCAATATGTGGACTGGGTGGGCCATCTTTTCCACACTGTCATGATTCCCTTGTGATGGAAGCGGTCCCGGGTAAAAGAGGCAGCAGGTGCAGGGCCCTCAGGCAGGAAGGGGGGAATGTGTGCAGGAAATGGGTGTGTCTCATGTTCCCACACTATGGCCAAACAATATAAGACCACACCAAAGAGGAGGCTGCAGGAGGGGGCCTGATGACTACCTAATTCTCCTCTGTGGTCAATTTCCAGGTGCATGATCTTCTCTCTAGCACTCAAAAAAGGAGCTGTCTTTTTGCTTGTTCTTTATAGTCTATTTCTGAGTCTCAGTGTCCTTAAGTCGAATGGTTTGGTTCAAAGGATTCCTGAGAAGTCTGCCTGTTGAAGGAGAATTTGCGATTTCCCAGAGGCACCATGCTGTCTCCCACCCCGGTGCCTTTGTGCCAGGCGCACTGTTTAAGATGCCTTCTGTTTAGGACGCCTGGGTGGCTCGGTCTGTTGAGCGTCCAACTTCGGCTCAGGTCATAATCTCACGGTTCATGAGTTCAAGCCCCACATCAGGCTCACTGCTGTCAGCGCAGAGCCCGCTTCAGGTCCTCCATCCCCCTCTCTCTGCCCCTCCCCCCCCAAATAAATAAAACATTAAAAAAGTTAATAAAAAAATTTTTTTTAATGTACTCAGCCCTGTCACCCTCCCAGACCCAGGTCAGGAGTTGCTTCCACTTGGCCCCAGGTTGAATTAACCATTCGTATCGTCCTCTGTGTGTTTTCTGTGCCCTGAGGGTGTCACGGCACTCGACAGCATTTGGCTCGCCATGTTACGGTCACTGCTTCTATGCCTGGCCTCTCTGGGACACTAACTGTGGCTCGGTCCCCATGCTCAGCACTGTGCCTGCTTCATAAACACCAAGTGGTGACAGTGGCTGAGTCCTGCCGTAGATGCAAAGTGCAGTTGAATGTCCCCACTGACTTCTCACTTCAGATGGCAGAGAGCAGAGTGGCAGATGATCCCCCAGGGTGACACACGCCAAGTCACTTTGAGGGCGTTTAGGATGGCATTTGCTTATTCTTAGCCATCTTCCTCATGCTGTTAGTAGTTTTCTTCCCTGTACACGCTTCCGTGGCTCCCGAGGGGTCAACAAAACTGATGTGGGATTAGCGTTTTGCCGTGGATAATCCATGGGTAGGTCATGGAGAGTTTACTCTCATCGTGATATCTGTGTTTCCCAATTCACACATCACTTGGGAATCTCTGCTAAGGGGAAGGAAGAAGTCGCAGACAATTTACTGTCTTAAATCATATTTATGTGGTTTTTCTTCGAGCCCTACTTCCCATGTGTACCATGTGACTTCTTAGCGTGACATTTATTAAAGCATTTCTTACTACAAGATACGAGTGTGCATAAAATCTCTAAATATTTTAACTCCTTTTTGCCTACAATAAAGATATTTAACCATTGGTTTTTCATTCATTTTAAAAATATGCCCACTAGACCTTTTGTTTTTTTTTTTTTTTCTTAGAAACAAGATACCGGTCAAGTTCTTCTGGATATGGCATACAACCACTTGGGTGTGACCGAAAAGGAATATTTTGGTTTGCAGCATGGCGATGATTCAGTAGACTCTCTTGTAAGTATCATCCCTTTAAGACGTCGCTGGATTTCTGTATGGTTTGGTTTTATATCTTATGTTTTCTTACCCAACAGAGATGGCTGGAATCAAGCAAGCCCATCAGGAAGCAGTTAAAAGGTGAGGCTGACCTTCTCATTTCAGTTGAACACTGGGTATTCGTGTATCACGGCCCGTTTCTCTCTTCCAATTATCCGTGTGCCTGTTAACATCTGGGACCCGGCTTCCAGGTGGTCCAGGTGATGTGAGTAAACTGTCTTCTCCGTGTTTGACTTCTGAGTGAGCAGAGATGCTTTCAGATCAGTCCTCACCAGCAGTGAGCAGGAAAGGTGAAAGAAGGCAGCCAAGAGCCCAGGAACCTACTTTCTTCTTACAAGGGAAGGGAGATGGCTTTTCTTAGCCCAGTGTGAGAGCCAGGGTGGGAAAGGCACGTGTGCATGCAAGCACATGCACGCACACACACACACATACACACCCCTCCTACTGGAGTCTGAGACATAGGTAGTCAATATAACATATAACATACTGCTCCTAAGCCCAGTGCTGTACATTAACTCCCATTTAGACGGGGTTTCACACCATGCCCCACCCCACCCTCCGCCCGGATCCGTCCTCAGCCTGGTTTCTAGCATCGCACTCTCTGTTCCCCTTTATGCACTTTATGCCCCAGACAAACCTGGCTGACCTCCCAGGCTGCACACATTCCTCTGTACCTTCCCTCAGTCTGTTCCCTCTGTTGGGATTGCTTTTCCCTCTTCTCTATATCCAAATCTTGCTGTTCTTCAAAGCCACTCAGACTCTATCCCTACTTCTACTAGAAGCCATGACCCCTCCCCCCCCCCCACCCTCCCTTCATGTGTCATTATCTGCTTTGCTCCTCGGAGCACTGTCCTTCATCTCCCAGTCGCCTGCCTTAATCTTCCTTGGAAACTGCCAGCTCCTTCAGGTCAGGGCCCCTGCCATACCTTCTCTGCATTCCTCACAATGCACCCGCTCCCCAGGAGGTGGCCAGTGAATGGCTGAGGGGTGAACGGCAGGTGGATTTTTACACATAAGTGTGCACACACGTATGCCACCTCCCCCCACTCGCCCAAGCACCCACACGGGAAGGAGTAGAGACAAGGAACCATGGCCAGGATCCCACTGCTGCTGTCCCCTGGAGCATGGGCCTCCAAGTCCTGACCTCCCTCAGCATTCAGAACTGCTCACAGGGAGCCACAGAGCCGTTGTGCAGATACATGCCTGCCCCCATTTGAAGTCTCAGAGCAGTGAGTCCACACAGGCATGAATACATTCCCTCGTCGTTCATTCCCTCACTAACTCATTCATTCGGGAAGTGTATCCTGAGCTCAGATTTTGGCAAGGCACTGGGCTAAGCTCTGAGAATCCGGTCCAAATCAGATTTGGACCTGCCCTCAAGGAGCTCACAGCCAAGCATGGGGATATGGACACCAGGAGAGTGAGGGTTCTAGGATAGTTCTGAGCACGTGATAGGACACTCTGGGTGCACAAAGGCATCCTGAGACACACATTGACAAGGTCTGGTGGGAAGGAGCTGAGAGGATGTCCCAAGGCATGGGAACACTTAGCTGTCCCCTGATGTGCAGGTGGTCAGCCTGTACCAAGTTACAGCGTCACCCACTGGTCCCTGGGCACACATGCAAAGGTGCATTCGTAGGTGCACACACACTGCTTGAGTCTTTGACACAGGAGAGAGACTGACAGAAAGAACTAAAGAGAGGGGAGGTAGAACCCCAGATGAACTGAGGTCGACAAGTCTGTAAGAGGAGCAGGGTAGAGAAGGCTTGAGTTTCTGAAGCAGGAAAGTGCCGAGCACATAGATAGGGCCAGCGAACATTTACTGAGTAACGGAGAGGGGTGCAGCCGACCTGAAGGAGAGCACGGAGCTTAGCAACACAATCTCCTCTTCCCTTTTGCCATATCTAGCAAAAGAAATGGGCTAATTTTATCTCTGCAAGCAAATCGATTCTTGGTATTATTGCATAAAGCCGTATTTGAGTATGGTAATTAATTGCATAATAATGTTTGCTAGTATGTTCGTCACTTTGGGAATTTACTTTGCGTTAAAAAGCATGAACTGTTGTCCAATATAAACGTGACTGAGAGGTGGCATAGCAGAATCAAAAACCTCAGTGCTACCGTTCTGGTACTGTCATCAGCTGTGTGACCCAAGGCAAGTCTCTGTGCCTGTTGGCCCGTCTGCAAAAACAGTGCCATCAACACCAGCCGAGCCTACTCAGAGTTAAGGCGGTGTTTCAATTCAAGAATATACCTGAAAATGTTTGGGAAAAGTATAAAGTCGCTATATATGTGAGGTTATTTCTTTGTGAATCTTGTATAATCTGTTGATGTCAGGAATTTTTAAAATTCCTGATCTAGATAATGGAGTGCATTGTTTGAACACAGCTCTAAGTTAAACCTGTATTAGGTGGTAATACCTCATTCTGTGCTCATATTGCAGATTATTCTACTTTTTGCAGACTTGGAGATTTCTAAATAGTCACTTAACCTGTGCACTCCTTGTTCAAAATTAGTCCTTGTATCGATGGAAAAAGGCAGTGGTCTAGTGAAAAAAAAAAATGCATCACTTAATGGGAGAGTAGCAGCTTACCTGCATTGACTTTTTTAAAGGGAAAACTTAAATTTGTTTTTGAAAAATGTTGTAGGAGGTTTCCCCTGTACTCTGCATTTTCGAGTAAGATTTTTTATACCTGATCCCAACACACTGCAGCAAGAACAAACCAGGTAATCACTTTTTTTTTTTAAGTTTCCTTTCTAGTCTATAAAAATGAGTAACCACTAAGAATGTACGCGTTATTTTATCACTGTGGCCATACACTTCATTTGGGTAGAACCACACCAGTGGTTCCCATCCAGGTAAAAATCGGAGGGGTACATACTGAACTTTTCATCAGCTGATTAGTTCTCTGTCTTGGACCTACTTACGTCCTTACTTGGTGCAATTCCCAATATACTCCCTTCCACCTCCTCCCGCCTCCCCTGCTGCTCCAGCCTCTCCTGCCTGTTGAGAGTGAAGTGCCCAAAGCAAGCAAAGTCATCCGTTCTCTAACGCAGGCAGGGTTTGGAAGACCATTGTGTGAAACGGTCATCCCCAGATCAAATAGCCCCGTGTCTCTGCTAGACTAGAACCGAGGCCCTTTAGGATAACGAGGTGTCTAAACTAAGCATTCTCTGCCACATCCCTAGTTGGTAAGAGACAGAAAGCTATGCAAGCCGGACCAGCTTCTCTCCTGAGTGAATCAGGGTGCGCAGGCAAAATGTGAACCAGATAAGGGAAAGAGAGCCCAGATAGGATTGTTTACCCCTCAGGGCTTGGCGTAGGGCCTGGCTCTTGTTTTGTACTGGCACGTGGGGTTTCTGGGTGGGGAACAGTGTTTGGAATGGAGGGGGTGGACACAGGAAGGTTGTTGCTGTTTGAACAGTGACCCTGCCTCTACTTCTCCTCCCCCATGGCAACGTTGAGCCCTTTTATTATCGATCTGTTTATTTTTCATAGGGAGGGAAATTTCCAGAGTGTTTCCTCTACCAGAAAAAATAAAATAAAAGTGGATATTAGGAATATTGACTCCTATTCTGTGTTCATTGTTCCCATGAGACCAACACCAACAAGGTGACATCAACTCAGGCATTGAGTACTATGTTTTGTTTTGTTTTGTTTTGCTTTTGAAGGTAACCACATGATGACATTTTAACTTTTAATGTGTTTAAAGGGTAAATATTAGTCTGTTATTCTGTTTTGCTTTCTTTGTGCACCTCTTCCCTCTAGGTAGCAGCCATTGGAGATTTGACTATGTTTACTGTTAAATTAAATTTTACGCCAGAGTAAGAGATGCCCAGCACCGGTCATTGGATAACCATGGGAAGTTCACATGGTGCTCTGAGTTTTCCCCATAATGGCTCCTAATGCTGGTGGACTGAGGGGGGTGTAGCAGATCGGTTCATGAGCTGGCGGACACAGAGGGGTGACATAATCTATAGGAAAATGAGTTTGAAATGACCCTACCAAGGTCCACCCCACCCCCCCGCCGACCGTTACTAAATATCAAGTTCTGTTCAAAGGATGCTTTAAAAATGTTACGATGGATTATATATGTATATGCATACATGTGTGTGGTTTTTTAACCAGTTGGTTTTTAAATCACAACCACACAGCAAAAATGTATTTTGCTTCGCAATGCAGTACAGATATATATTACCGAAGCAAGTGTTTAATAAAACAATACCAAGTGCAGATAGTTTTCTATTCTCTATTTCCTTCTTTTTAAAATGCCCATTGTGACCTGTTAAATTTATGACCAACTGATACCCTCTAACCCCAAGTGAGAACTGCACTACCTAACCTAGTAATTGTCACTCATTGTCCTACCTGCCCCCATGTGATGCTAGAGCTACGGGGGTGTGGTGGCCGCGGGCATGGTAGCGTTCTCCAAAGACCTTGAGTGAAGGGATGACTAGGGCTGGCCTAACCCAAGAGTCTCTTTCTCCAGTGCCCCTCTTGGGGATTGGGCGTCTACTGCCATACCCCACAGGAGAGAGGCTCACTCCCTCTGGGTGCCAACAGAATCTTCCTGCTGAACCTGACATTTGACGGGATGGAAGGAGGACTTGGGGGGAGACAGGTTGCCTTGAGATCTGTAAGGGATGAGGGGAATTAGACATGCTTGGTGGTAGCATAATGGCCAGCGGGCAGAGCATCCAGAGAGGCAGATTTTGGCACAAAATGAGTAATAGACTAATTTTCGTTCTTACCTGAGCCCAGGATAAAATTTGATTTGTTTGTGTCCCTCATACAGTTCACTGCTTTAGGACTGACACCTGACTGTATGCACCCCACCTCCCATCTTAAGATGGGTGGTATCCCCAGTGTGGAATGGAGTGTAGCTGTCACCTCCTGGGATTTGGGGCACCAGATTTCAATGTAACAGGAGCCACAGTAGCAGCCACCCACATGGCGCCTATAGAGCTGGTGGGCAGCCAGGACTGCCAGATCTTTTCCTTATGCTGAGCCAGACGTCCACCATTAATTCACATGTCTTTTTTTTTTTTTTAACTTAGAGTTTCGCCTATATTCCTGACACACAGTATTCTATTAAGCCTCAGCTCTGTAGCCTATCCAAAAATAAATCCTTCTTAAAGACATTTAGCCTTCAAGCATCGGAGAAAGTGGTATTTGTTGTTTTCTGGGGTTTTTTTTTTTTTCCTAAAATTCTGGGCTGGGAGGCATCTGTTGCCCTTTTTGTGAAGTTGAGGTCATGGTCACTCTAGGAGTGACCTTTACATTTCTGAAGTCAGGTGTGCCAACTGTGTGGTTTTCTTTTATTCTACTTGTTAAACATCTCCTTGATCGTGAGCCTCCACAGCTGCTGTTCCTGATAAATTTAGGTCACCCTACACAGAATTTCATTTACTGGTAGCTTTGAAATGAGGCTCCTTCAGGATTCCCAGGAGACCCCCCAAACTTTGGTCCTCCTTCCACTATTACAGCCTCTTTGTACAATGTCATGAGATTGACTCAGACACTTTGCCGACTATGTGATAACGTAGCACTTGATGAATGGTGATCTCCAGGTTCATGTTCATTTCCCTCCCTAGGAAGAATCACCGATCAGCTGGGCTTGCCCCTGGAGGGCCAGATTTACCATAGGATTATCCAGCATTCTCTCCCTTCTCTGCTTTCTCTCAGTAGCACTGTAGGAGAGAACACTTAATTCTGGTTGAATGTCAGCTTAGATAAACATAGGAACAAACTAGAAAGGACTGATGATGTTCTCGTAGGTGAAAAAGATGGTCTCCAATACAAAATAAGCATGAATCAGCACACGTATGCTACCCCGTTTCTCAGTGCTGGTCTTCAACACAGGAAGGGTAGTTGATAACTATAGGCAACATAATAATATATATCAGAGCTAGGAAACTGACCCTAAGCCTGTAGTCACTAGATGCATAAGAAATTTGTAGCATACTCAGGTTTTTCATAGTATGACGGTCCAGATTAAAATCAGATCTAACTGACCCCACATAACCTATCTGAATGTCTGTTTCCTCAAAAATAGGAGGTGGCAGTGCCTCCTTCTGAGCTGTACGAGGCTGAAATAAGGCAAGCCATTATGAAGTTCCCTGCATCCGGCCCAGAACTGTGCAGAGAGGGGGTTGTAATGCCACATGACATATTCATGTCCCAGAACACCAGCGCCTTGACCTTTTGAACATATAAATTTGAAGGCATCATGAGACCCGATGTGTTTTAAATTGCCCAAATCATCACTCCCCTGCCCTGGGACACTTCTGCTGTATCTGTATTATATTTCAAGAAGTTTCCCTTTTGTCCTCTTGGCCAGACACTGGAATGTCTATCCCATTTGAACCCGGGCTTTAAAAAAGAGTGGGAGCTAGCAGCCGAGTGTCACATGTATGCCGCATCCCTAAATATAAAGTTTTCCGTATCCCTTCGTGGCCCGAGCAGTGCTCTCACTGGTGTCTGCTCCCCACTCCCTGGATGGTGGGCAGACTTGCAGGGTGAGGGGCCTGCCCTGGGTTACCGAGCTCTGCCCACAAGTCACGTGTTGGGTTCTGAAGTGCCGTTCCTGGTGGCTCACAGACCAGTGCCTAATTCAGCTCGGAGGTCCTGGCAGCGGGTAGCTGATTGATGCTTATGCTTTTGCTCAAGCACCCACGGTTCCCGGGACACAGGAAAAAACTCAGCTGGGTATTTGCACCCCAGCCAAGGAGGTGTCCTCACAGACCCACCTCCTCTCTGCCGCTTCACGCAGAGGGAACGTGGGTGTGTTGTGAAACGCGGTTCCCCAGTGCATGGGGGCTGCCTGTGCAGAATGCTCGTGGGTCCTGGTGCTCTCGGATGCCCCCGAGTTTACGGGGGTGGGGGTGTCTGCTGGCAACAGTCCTGGCTGATGACTGCCTCCAGCCTTTCCGTCCCTGCTTAGCCATCCCTGGGACAGCATGTGCTGGCATGAGGCTGGCTGGAAGTCAGACAGCCACAGGAGCCGTTGTTCCTGAAGGGGCAGCTTTGCGGTGGACAACCTAGCCCCCGATACTTCAGACAGAACCGTGTTTTGGGGCACCTGGGTGGCTCAGTTAAGCATCTGACACTTGATCTCAACTCCGATCTTGATCTCAGAGTCATGAGTACAAGCCCTGTACCGGGCGTGAAACCTGCTTAAAAAAAAAAAATTTTTTTTTTTAAATGCGTTTTTATGTATTTTGTTTTCCGAATGTACAGATCTTGTCCTTGACTCGTCGCCTTTTTTGTGTGTGCGCTTGCTTCAGTTTGAGTGTTCTGAATTAATAATAAAAAAATTGTTTCGTAGGCATTTGTATTTCTTACAACTGAAGATGGATATTTGTGAAGGAAGGTAATGAGAATTTCACATTCTTCTTTTCCTGTCAGTTGCCAGACACTAAAATTCCTGGTTTCAGTCTAATGAGCGTGCATTTCTGGTAACAGTATTAAATGTAGACAAAGGATGGATGTTGACAGCAGCATCCGGCATGACTTTATGGCCTGGACGTCTGGTTTTAACCCGGTCTCGATTTGGAGAAGTGGAGGATGGATAAACATCATTTCATGTGTCGATTTTATTAGAAAAGGTACAGTTATCTTTCTGGTAAAGACCTGAGAAATTTTAAAGGGAGGGAGAGACCCAGAATGTGAGACGGGCTTCATTGAGGAAGGCAGATCAGGCCTCATTTAGGTCTACTTGCAAGCTCCTTAGTACCTATCATGACTCATTTTCTCACTGGGAGACTTTGTGCTAGAAGGCGTGAGCATCTGCCTATGATTCAGCACGTCTTGTGTGTCAGGACCATCTCCGTGGCCAGAAGTGTGTGAAATGGTCCAAGAAGGGGAAAGAAAGGCCAAGCCAGTGGTCCCTAGCTGCCTTCTCCGAATGCTGACTTTTCCTTGACTTAAGGGAGAAACTGTAGCCGATGAACTGGTAGAAAGAGTCACAGCTTATTCCCATCCTCCTCATTCTGTCTTTCCCCCTGCCAGTTCAACTGAGGTCATCAGAAGCCCCTGGAGGGAGCCCACTGTGTGGTTAGGGGCAGTGAGGCAGGAGCCCAGGAGGCGATTAGGACCAGTATGGGCTCTGGAGACCACAGTAGCCATGAGGTTTAATGGGGAGCAGTACGGGCTGGGAGTCTTTGCCCTGCCACAAGCCCATTGTCCCAGCTGAAAACCACATTTGGGGAGGGGAGGGGGCGGGACGCCTGGGTGGCTCAGTTTGTTGGGCATCCGACCTCAGCTCAGGTCATGATCTTACAGTTCTTGGGTTTGAGCCCTGTGTCAGGCTCTGTGCAGACAGCTCAGAGCCTGCAGCCTGCTTTGGATTCTGTCTCCTTCTCTCTCCGCTCCTCCCCCGCCCATTCTCATTCTCATTCTCTCTCTCTCTCAAAAATAGATAAAACATCAAAAAAATGAAAAAAAAAAAAAGAAAAGAAAGCCACATGTTGGGGACTTACAGGAGAGTAGAGAAAGGAGGTCCTTCTTGTCAAACCTAGACAGGCATCTTGTGTCCAGCAGGCAAAGAGCTGTTGGAGGTTTTTAAGCAGGAGGTCTGTGGCCAGAGCAGCATCGACAAAGATAGTGCCGGAACACGTAAGAGAAGGCTGGAAGAGGCTGGGGGGCTTCATCTAGATGGAAGGGAGATTTTCAGGCATGGCCCTGAAGATCTGGGGGACGGGCTTGGGGGAGGAACATTTAGAAACAAGATACATGTTGAATTCTGGATTGCCAGAACCTGATGACTCTCCAGAGCTCCTACAATTAGAAAATTTTTTTTAATTTAGCTCATTCTCCCACTCAGAGGAGGGAAGAATCCCTTCCCTAGCACAGCTGCAGTCCTTGGGGCCTCTGCTTAAGCACCCCCAGAAATGAGCTCCCCCTTTCATGGGGCAGCCTTCTTACATGTCAGGATGACTCCAGGTTGAAATCACCCACTCCTCTCTTGGGTCCTGGCCGCCCTCGACAGCAGTAACAACTTGTCTCTCTCTTCTGTGCACTCATTTCTTTTCTCCACAACTATTTCACCAACCACCTGTTGTGTGATGGGCTCTCTACTGTGCTGGTCAAATAAGGCAAGGCCCTGCCCCCTCAGGAGCTCTCAGATGAGCCCTCCACATAGTAAAATTGGCAGTCTTCATTTTTTCTTCTCCAAACACAATACCCCTCGTTAGTTTTGTGTGAAACCTGTTGGGGGCCACATTGTCTTCAATCCCTGGCATTCCTTGTCAGGCCTCTTGGTGGCCTCTACCACCTCTCTGAGGAGAGGGCCTCCTGCTACCAAACACTTCCTGGGTGTGTCAGGGTGGGCGTGGCCATTTGTAGCCATGGATCTTGTGACAGACTTGATGGATCTAATTAGCCCTGACTCCTGGGTGCCCTGATTTGTTTGAACTGTGTGGTTGGCAGTTCCCAAGGCATTCTCTCTTTCCAGCTGAGATAAATGACCTTGTCCATCAGATAGACACCCTAAAACCTGGAGGGAAAGAAAGGAGTCTGTCTAAGGGCACGTGGCATGTTAGTGGCCACCTTGAGTGACCTTGAAGGCTTTTGGTATTCTTTAGTTTGTATTTATACTGTTCTTTGGAAATGTTCTTTTCTGACTTATTCATAGGATTGTTCCTTCCATCTATTTTGAACCTCCTTAGCCCGTCTCTTCAGCTGTACCCCACGTCCCATTCACCCTGCTCTGCCGCTAGCAGGGACACTGACTTAGGTTTCATTGAAGCCCATCTTGGTAGGAGAGCGAGTGACTGGTGTTTGTGCTCCCCACGGGCTATCTGGGTCTCCAGATGAACAAACAGATGGTGAATATGCCTGGGCGTATCTCCATACTTGGAGAGATTACTTAGAAGTTCTAGCAGGGAACACGTGGTAACTTGAGGAAAGTTGGGGACCCCTCCAATTGGGAAGGCTACCTTCTTGTGCAGCTTCAGGACTAGCACATAGCACAGCAGATGGGAAGGGGAACCCTGGGCTGTCAACCTGATTAGTCAGAGAGACGGGGGTGACTCACATCTTGGGAATCTCATGAGCTGCCATGGAAACAGTACTTTTTCTCCACTTCCCCTGGGGCTTCGGGAAGAATGCTCTTAAAATCTGTACCTCCCCACCCTGTAAGACTTCATTTCTGCTGCTTCTACTCAGCCCCTCCTCAGTGCATTTCTCCACCTGGCAGAGATCCCTGGCCCAGGTCTGCTGGCCGAGCTCCTAGGCAGATGGTATAGTTCATGGTTGAACGGAGAAAAGGGAGCAACCAGAGGATTCAAAGGATGACTAAGCCAGAGATGATGTTATTGACAGAAATGGGGTGTTTGGAGGGTAGTGAGCCTGAGAGGAAGGGAGACCAAGTCTAGCAGCCAGTCCATGGGTTTCTAGCGAGTGGCAGGCAAACTGGGAGGTGGACAGAACATTCCGTATAGATCGGAAGCTTCAGGAGGGTAAATAGATTTAGGAATCTTAACTAACTGTTAAGTAATTTAGAACTCACAGGAGTTTTAAAATTTTAAGATCCTTTTCTATTTTTCCCACCTAAGAGGATGTCACCTTTCTAGAGAGCGGGTAATCAAGAATCATGGAGTCAACAGAAGTCAGATTTAGTTAGAAAGCCCTACAGAAAGTCTCACGTCTTTACTAGAAAGATATGAAGGCTGCCCAATGATCTAAGAGTATGATTTTCTCACTTTTCCTCTTCGTAATATGAGCCTGATCTTTCTTGATCAACCAGAACCTTGGCCACCATTAGGCCTTTAGCTTCATGGTATTTGTATTACTGTGTATTATTTTAAACACAACAAAGTTCTCCTTTAATTTTAAATCTTTAGCGTTACATTTATCTTTACTATTTGAGTTGCATCCTAAAATTGTCTTTGTTATGATTCAAGATGTTGTTTAATGGTTAATGCAAGAAAGAAGATAGGTGTTACCCATGATGGACGTTTCAGGATGTTGTTGGCTCTGTGACCTCACTAATGTGTTTTTCTCCTGACAGGTTAACCTGCCCTCTTAACTCAGCGGTGGTTCTAGCATCCTATGCAGTGCAATGTAAGTCACCGAGGGAGCATTTCACAGCTGGACAAGACTATTCTGACTGATGTCTTAAGAAAGTCACTGCCCTTTCCTGTTTGACCAGGTCTCTTACCCTCTTCCCAGGAATCCTGTTGGGCAAGCTTCTCTCTGGTTGTCTGGAGAGTCCCACTGTCATCCTGACTGACACTGTCCACCCACACAGGGATGTTGGTCAAGGAGAGTGGTGAAGGGGGAAAGAGTGGATGAGCCCATACAACAGAAGTCACCTATCACACATTGTATTAACCAGACCCTCACATATTGTGTCTCATAACAAACCCCAGTGGGGCAGATATTTCTACCAGTCACCGCTTATAGACATGGAAACCAAATCCCATGGTTAAGAAATTTCGTGGAGACCACTCCTGCTACTTGCTTGGGATCTAAGGAACTTATTTTTAATTTTTTTTTTTTTTTTAATGTCTATTCATTCTTGACAGAGACAGAGCATGAGCAGGGGAGGGGCAGAGAGAGAGGGAGACACAGAATCCGAAGCACAGAACCCAACGCAGGCCCTGAATTCACAGACTACGAGATCATGACCTGAGCCGAAGTCGGATGCTCAACCGACTGAGCCACCCAGGCGCCCCATATTTTTAGAGTTTCAGTAGAGCTAATGGGTTTTTTATTGCCCTATAGCAGCAGTGTCCAGTAGAAATATAATGTGAGCCACATATGTAATTTTCAGTTTTCTAGTACCCATTATTAAAAAAGGAAAATGAAACAGATGAGTATAGTTTTAATATTTTAATTAATCCAGCATATCCCAAATACTATCATTTTAATATATAATCAATGAAAAAAATTAACAAGATATTTTACATTTTTTTAATATGGAGTCTTCAAAAACCAGTCCAGATTTTATACTTTAAGCACATCTCAATTTCAAGTGTTCAGTAACCACATGTTGCTAGTGGCTGCCACATTGGATAGAAAGTCCATATGGAATTTTCAGTCAAGGCCTGTTTAAGAATTCATTTATTCAGTGAAACTTTGTTGCGCATATATTCCACATCAGGCCCTGTGGTAGACGCGGGGTATGCATGGTGAAAAGGGGGCCTAGCCAGATGGAAGGCAAGGTATCACTTCATAGTTAGCCGGTGGTGCCAGAGCAGTATGCTAATGTAGAGGTCAGACAGAGGTGCGTGGTATGTAAGAAGGCTCCTCTACCTTTCTATAAGCCCCACAGCATCTTGGCCTATAACCCTCTTAAGCTGACTGTAGGGTAGGGAGTTAAGAGAGCAAGATGGTCAGGTCTCTGAGCAGGTGCTGGCTGAACTACTCGCTCTACTTTGGTCTCAGAGGCAAAATAGCAAGAGAAGGCTGACAGGGACTCCTGAGGTGGCCTTAAGTCTGTCCACTCCCCTGGCTGCAAGGAACAGAAATAGGAGAGGGGAAGAGCAAGGTGGCTGAGCCCACAGCTTATCTGCCCACCTGCGGGATACCAGGAAGTGGAAGACAGACCTTTAACAATGACCCTACTCACTAGTAAGGTCAGGTCCAGTCTCAGTCTCCCCAGATAGCCGGCATCTCCTTCTCCAATGGGAAACCAAGAAGAGGCTGCACAGTGACAGGCCTGGGTAGATTTGAAATTTCCCCTCTCCCTACAACACAGCTGGAACAGACCCGGCCGTGTTGTATCCAGATGGGAAATGGCATGGCCACCAGTCAGCCTGTGTCCTTACTGGTCTCTAGACCTCATGGACTCCATCTCTGCCAGGCTGATCAGCTGAAGAGACCAGCTTTGCTACATCCCGGAGTGAGTTTGGTGTTCGCAGCTGGAGCTTTGAGGGGCAGGAACACTAGGAAGGACATAGTCAAACTAAATTTAGATCCTGGCTTCTCCACTTGCCACTAATGTGGTATTACCTCCCTGAATTCCCGGGGTTTTTTTTCTGTAAAACAGAGGTGATGGTGGTGATTATAACTCAAAATTGACTGTTTGAGTCAAATCATACATGTAAGGAAATGTATAACTAGAAACTTTACAGCCGGACCCTTGCTGGTAACTGAGTCAATGAGCACGTTCCTGGAGCCATGTTGCCTGGGCTTGGGCTCTTCCACTAATACATCATGACCCTGAGCCTCTCCAGGCCTTCGTGTCTTCATCTGTGAAGTGGTGATAACTGTGTTTACTTCCTAGGGTTGTAGTGAGGATGGAATGAGTTATTATACGGAAAGCTCTCAGGATAGCGCCTGCCGCGTGGCAAGTGCTCACTTGCGCTCTGTTTTCATGTCTGCCCAGAAGAAAACTTTCTGAAGAACTGCCTTTTGTAAACAATAAACTCTATTTAGAGTAAAATTTAAGAACCAAATACGAAAATCCTATTCTAAGTCAGGTTCTCCCCTCTGCAAACAAGTGATAGAACTGGGCTAAAGGAAGTTATTAGCATCGAGAAAGCAGAAACTAGTTTCCGTGGAAATATTACCATGACTCTCATGCTTAATGAAATCATGCGTTGTCAGACAAGCAGTTTTAAGTATAAGCTCTTTATTCCTTCACTCTCAGGAAGTACATATATGTTCTTCCTGATACTTCTGTGCATGCATTTCTCTAAGATTAATTCTTGGATAGGGTACTGCTAGATGTCTAATTTTTATCTACTACATTTCACTAAATTGTCCTGGCAGGGGTGTGTCATATGAAGATAAGCCCCACTAGTGACAAGCAAACCAAAATCAGATTTTCTTACTAGATAAAAAGTAATGTAGGTAAATACTGGAAAATATTTTTTTTAATGTTTATTTTTGAGAGAGAGACACACACACACACACACACACACACACACACACACACACACAGCATGAGTGGGGGAGGGGCAGAGAGAGAAGGAGACACAGAATCTGAAGCAGGCTCCAGAATCCCAGCTATCAGCACAGAGCCCGATGCAGGGCTTGAACTCAAGATGGACTGTGAAGACTGTGAGATCATGACCTGAGCCAAAGTCGGACGCTTAACTGACCAAGCCACCCAGGCGCCCCCAATACCTGAAAAGATTTTATAGGTTGCTGGTGGCCTCAAGTATTTAGGAGGCTCAAAGAATAAAGTTCTTAGAAATACGTATTCATTCCATAATGTCCCTTGACCTCTGTCATGTGCAGGTTCTGTACCAGTCTTAGGGTGCACAGACAGAGCATGGCCTCTCTCTGGAGTCCCCTGCCTGCTGGGGAGGCACAGGTGGGCCGGCTGATGGTGACAGTGAGGGTGAGCACAGAGGATGCACTCCATTCTTGCATGGGGGAGAAGGAAGCGAGTCCAGAAAAGCTTCTTAGTGATGACCCCTGAGAAGAGCCTCCAAGATTAAGCTGGTGTTGGATGAATAACATGTAAGGGGCTTGTTTACATTACATAAAGGACTTTCCCAACAGAATAGTTTGACAGCTGGAAATGCCGCACATTTGAGTGTCTGGAATATACTCTCTGTTTCCTGCACAATATAAAATTTTAGCCAGAAGAATGCATGGAACTTAAGACAATGTACTTCCCACATAAACACTCATTTCCTTATCTTCCTGCTATAATTAGCTTGTGCATGTGTTGCTTCCCCACGAATAGGAAAGTGTATTGCTCTGGAGGTTAGGGTGTGTGGTATAGTAAGTAGATGAAGGTTATGGACTGTGGTCAAAGTCTAGGCTCCAAGTTACCAGCTGAGCAGTGTGGGCAGGTCCCTTCCTTGAGTCGCCCTTCCCTTAACCGTTTCATAGGGACAAAAGCAATGTCTGTCGCTGGGTTGTCATGAGCGCTTTGAAATCAACAGGGGAACCTCTCTGTGCTTGGCCAAGTGTTTGCAGAGGACTATTTAACTTTGTTTCCCTCTAGTGGTGAACACAAAACTTTGCACGGAGTAGCCAACTAAGATTCCAAGGGAAAACCACCCTACAGGGAGATTCCTCCTAGGCCTTTTGTTAAGTTCAGACATTTGTCAGTGACTTGACTAAAGATGACCTTGCTGTTCATTTTTGCAGAAGGGCCCAGGGGTTGGGATTTATCAGCTAAAACAGATGACCAAATCAAGGTCCAAGAGGCTCACCATGAGCAAATGAAACCAATAGAGTAAAATTTAATCGGACTCTGCCTTGAGGCTTAGGAAAATCCCTTTGCAGCATTTGGCTGCCCTCTGGGGACATAACCCCTGTCCTCAGCAAATGGCGAGCAGCAGCTTGGACCTGGCAGGCAGGCTGGTGGGAATGGTAGGAGCATAAGCTGGGGGGCATGGATCACCTGGGTTCTGGTCTTAACTGCTGGAAGTGGCTTCTGTGATATGGGAAGTCCCTTATCTCTGGATCATAGTTTCTTCTCTCTTTTTTTTTTTTTTTCTCTTTCTTTTTTTAGTTTCTTCCCTTTTAAAATGAATTTATACAAGATAATTTTAAGACTTTCTCATGCTGTCCTCATTGGGGGCTCTGTGTCAGGGCATCTAAATTATTTCCTATAAACACATGGTTCTATACTTCACAATGTACCAACTCACCTATACACCACACTTGTGCTTACATAATCCAGCCTTGACATTGCAGTCCATAGCTTAGCTGCATTTGGCTGGCCTTAACAGCCTATGGTCTACCCTTGACCAAGTCTGTGTGCATAGATCACTTGGCTTTTTAGGCCCTCTTCCCCTTCCAAAACTGAACTTTGTAGTAGCCTTTGTTTCAGTTAGTTCTGAGCACTGCGTCCCTGAGCACCTACTGGGTGCCATGCATAGGTGCTAGGCCCCAGGGATGAGTCTGCCTCACTCCCAGCCCTCAGGGAAGAGTGTAAGGAGGAAACAGATCCCTTCATTATGGTGTGGATCTCAAAGAGCAGCTCTTGGGTGTGGTGGCAGTTGAGGGTGAGCAGGGCCAAACGGACATAAAGAAATATGTGCTTGCATCTAGCCTCTCCTCTTTGTGATGAATTCCCCTAAGCAGCTCCCCGGCTCATCTCCTTCCCTCCTGAGATTGGCCATGAAGTATCACAATAGCTTCTCCCGGTCCCCATCCTCGTGTCACAGAAGGAGCTGTTTGATTTAGAACTCTGTGTTGAGTGGGCGCTGTGCAATGCTAGCCCTCAGAAGCCGCCTAGCGTTGAAGCCAACTGTGAGAAGAATTCATTGAAACCTTTGGAAAGATCAAGGTTAATATTTTTAAGAAAAAGATGAAAGTGTCCCATTAACAAAATGAAATACTATTAGAACGCCTGGGTGGCTCAGTCGGTTAAGGGGTTCAGCGCCGGACTTCGGCTCAGGTCATGATCTCAACAGTTTGTGGGTTTGGGCCCCGCGTCGGGTGCTGTGCTAACCACTCAAAGCCTGGAGCCTGCTTCAGATTCTGGGTTTCCCTCTTTCTCTCTACCCCTCCCCTGCTCACACTCTGTCTCTGTTTCAAAAATAAATAAACACAAAATTTTTTTTTCAATAAAAAAAAAGAGAAAATGAAATACTAGAGTAATTGCCCATCAGAACTAGAACTTGTTTTTCTCCTGTTTTTATAAAGATGGAAAAACTGAATCTTCGTGAAGGGAGGCAGGTGTCCGTGTGTCCCACAGGCAAGATCCTTAGGTGCCCCACCCAGGGTCTTTTTCCCAGTCTCCTCAACAGTCCAGACACCCAAATGGTTTGAATCCCCAGGGCAGCCATGTACAACTCTCAGGAATATCTATTACACAGTAGATGTCAGTGAGTCACGTTTGTAGAATGGCAGTCAAGGATCTTGAGGGAGAGGCGCCGCTTAGACCAGGGATGGATCTGGGAACCCCTCTGTAAGGCCCTCTTCCTACCCCCTCTGCAATTGCAGGTCTCCAGTGTTTCCCTGACTCCCCCAAGAATGTGCCTTCTGCCCCAGAATTCTGCCCTCACCTTGCCAGGGCCCGTCAGCCCCACCCACTCCCAGCCCTCATGCCACCCCCCACTGTGCCTCCGAACACATCCTGGTTCCATTTCTTCCACCACTTTTCCAAATTCCGGGGACCTGGTCAAGGTGCAGACCGTGGTCAAGTCAGCATAACCTGCCTTCTGCCCACACGCATTTTTTAGAGCAGGATGGTCCAGTGTTGTGATCACCTTGGGCTACTAGAGAGTCCGTCTTCTGCACAGGACGTGGCATACAGGGCATGGCATTTTTGAGTGGCTTCTCTTACTTCTCTTTATCCAGGGGTACGGTGCAAACTGCAGGGCTCACCACAGAGCATGGGTTTAGAATAGGGCCTAGGTTAGACTGTCCAAATGTCTGGCCGCGGGGAGAGAACATTCAGCTGAAGCATGTGTGGTGGTACCACATAGGGTTCAGATAGAAATGTAGAATCTGGAGCTAAGGAGAAGCTCAAGTTCATGCAGTGGTAGAACCTCTTGGAAGAATACTTCCAATGCTTTTCTTGTGATGCTATAGATGCTTGTGAATGCAGACCATATTGAAAAGGCGATTTCCTCCTCATTCTGTCTCGATAGCGCATTTTGGAGACTATGATTCTTCCATTCATCATCCAGGCTATCTTTCTGATAGTCAGTTTATACCAGATCAGAACGATGACTTTTTAACGAAGGTGGAATCGCTCCATGAACAGCACAGGTGAGAAGAGGGGTGGGGTGGCCTACTTTGGGAACCCAGGTCGCACATTTCAGACCTTATGTTCCCTTGTGTCTGATGTGTTCTCTTCCTTTTGTTCATGAATCCTCTTTTAAGCTGTCGGAGGTTTGTGAACCTTTGAGATGTTACGATGGCAGATATATTTGGCATAACTAGCGTTTCTGTAAAGTGCAAAATCCGGTAAGAGTTTAAGGGGATTTACAGCATTCTTTTTTAGGGTGTCATTGAAATCTGTTAATTCCTAGCGGAAATGCCCTTTTTAAATATGCCCCACAAATTGACCTACCAGGCAACTTTTAACAGTTGACCACATTTGATAAAGTGGGTGGCTCCATCAAGCATCATTGAATAGACAGGCAGGTGGACGAATGCCAGGAGGCCTGTGAATCCCACATCCTCCCTGGCTTCGGGTCGTGAAACCGCCTTCATTCCAGAAGGGAGGCCCACTCTTCCGTAGCTGCCGCAGGCCCAGCTTCCATTCCAGCAGATATGCCCGATTCTGGGCTCCTTGTCCTTTGCCTTATTTTATTCAAAGCTACAGAGAGGCAACTCTATAGTCCAGGTCCGATCAGGGCCATCCTGACCAGGAAGGCCAGGTCTCAAGGGACCTGACATTGTTGGGAAGGCTGCAAAAACAAAGGCCAAGCAATTGGCGTCCCTTCTAAAAGGCACGGCCAATCCTCCCTCCCAGAATTGTTTCCCAGGCAGAAGCCAGCATCCTAAAATAGCACAGTGACGTTTGGGAGTTTGAGGCTGCCAGCAGAATAGATAAAGGTGGAAAGACCTGAAGAGCACCTATCAAGTAAGCAACTTGGAACAAGGAGGGTGGGAATTCCAAAAGGTAACTTCCTTCCGTATCTCAGTATTGAGAGCCTAATAATGGGAAGTATTATTCAGTAAAGGACTTGAGCAGACGATGAAGTCCTATTCGGTGGGCAAGAGAAAAGACCTGGTTTAGTAGAATTTAGGGTGAGATTGTTGAAGATTAATAACATAAGGCATTTAATAACCTTACAGAAATGTTACCAATTTGGAGGGGATTTTTATGTTAAAAATTGGAGTTGTGTACTCTGTTGATTCGAGAGCTCTGCGTTGTCTCTTGTCTTCTGTAGTGGACTAAAGCAGTCAGAAGCTGAATCTTGCTTTATCAACATAGCACGGACCCTCGACTTCTATGGAGTGGAGCTACACAGCGGTAGGGTAGGTACCCTCGGCATTTCCGGGTTCAGAAATTAATTTCCGAAGGTTTGAAAACTTCTTTGAGACTATGTCTTTTCCAGTATAATAAAAAAAGAGCTTTGTGTAACAATATTCAGAAAGTTTATAAAGTTGGTTATCCAGTTGTTTTTTCATGTTTCATGCTTCCATGGGGTCGGGGGGCGGGGTGGTCATGGGGATTAGAAACAAGTAGTTTTTATTTTTATTTTATTTTTATTTTTTAAAAAATGTTTATTCACTTTTTGAAAGAGGGCGCACGAATGGGGGAGGGGCAGAGAGAGACAGACAGAACCTGAAGCAGGCTCCAGGCTCAGAGTGGTTAGCACAGAGCCTGACGCAGGGCTCGAACTCACAAGCTGTGAGAATATGACCTGAGCTGAAGGCGTATGCTTAACTGACAGAGCCACCCAGGCACCCCAGAAACAAGTAGTTTTTAAAAATTTTTAATGTTTATTTTTGAGAGAGAGGGAGAGAGAGAGAGAGAGACAGAGCATGAGAGGGGGAGGGTCAGAGAGAGGGAGACTCGGAATCAAAGTAGGCTCGAGGCTCTGAGCTGTCAGCACGGAACCTGACGCAGGGCTCGATGCCACGAACTGTGAGATCATGACCTGAGCCAAAGTCGGACACTTAAATGACCGAGCCACCCAGGTGCCCCAGAAACAAGTAGTTTGTAAAGATGATTTCATATGATGATTAAAGAAGCAAAAAATGTGTCTGTCCATTTTCCAAGTGATACTTTAATGAGCCAAGGTGTTTACTATTTCATCTCATTGCTGTTCAAATTACCCAAATATGACAGCTTTTTCTTCTAAAGTTTATTTATTTATTTTGAGAGAGAGAGGGCACGTGTGCACACATTGGGGAGGGGGTGGGTAGAGAGAGAATCCCAAGCAGGCTCCACCCTCAGCACAGAGCCCTACATGGGGCTCAATGCCATGACTGAGATTGTAACCTGAGCCAATATTAACAGTTGGATGCTTTTAAAAATTATAATGTTATTGGGGCACCAATATTGGGTGGCTCAGTCGGTTAAGCGTTCGACTTCGGCTCAGGTCATGATCTCACAGTTCGTGAGTTCGAGCCCCACATCAGGCTCACTGGTGTCGGTGCAGAGCCTACTTTCGATCCTCTGTCCCCTCCTCTTTCTGCCCCTTCCCTGCTCATGCTCTGTCTCTCTCTCTCTCAAAAATAAACATTAAAAAAATTTTTTTTAATTATAATGGTACAATCATGAAAACCAATAAATATTTTAATTGATTGTGACTTTTAATTTTTTTTAATGTTTATTTTTGAGAGAGAGAGTGGGGGAAGAGCAGAGAGAGAGGGAGACAGAGAATCCCAAGCAGGGCCCTCACTGTCAGCACAGAGCCCAGTTTGGGGCTCTAACTCGTAAACCGTGAGATCATGACCTGAGCCAAAATCAAGAGTCAGACGCTTAACTGACTGAGCCACCCAGGAGCCTCTTGTTGTGACTTTTTAAATAAAATTGAGTAGGGGCGCCTGGGTGGCTTAGTCGGTTAAGCGTCGACTTCGGCTCAGGTCACGATCTCACGGTCTGCGAGTTCGAGCCCCGTGTCAGGCTCTGTGCCGACAGCTCGGAGCCTGTTTCGGATTCTGTGTCTCCCTCCCTCTCTGACCCTCCCCCATTCATGCTCTGTCTCTCTTTGTCTCAAAAAAATAAATAAACGTTAAAAAAAAAAGTTTTAAGTAAAATTGACTAATATCCATCATCTACTGAGTAATTTCTATCTGCCGGATACAGTGGCTTGCTTATTTCCCCCAGTAATGCTGTGAGGTATTATCATTACCCCCATTTTACAGATGGAGAAACTGATACTCAGGGACTTTTGGAAGGTCACACAGCACAGAAGTAGCAGCTTTAGTACATGACCCCAGCACTGTCTAGTTGGCCTCTGACCTTTCTATTTTCTGCCAGTAATTGGTCCACATCATATACAAAAGAAAGCAAATATTGAATACCTAGTAGGTACTAGACATTGTTCCAGATGCTTTCATGAGACCACAATGTCTCGTTTAAAGATTATAGCAACCTTGACAAATCAGTATTCGAATCATCCCATTTTACGGTGAGAAAATGCAGGCTCAGGGAAGTTGAGTAAATAATCAGACTCTACATCTGAGAGTTTTGCGATTCATAGAAACACTTTCATTTCTTTTGTGCCATTCCAATCCCATAACCGTGTGATAGGCAAGTTACAGCCTCAGTAATAAAGGAGGAAGAAGATATGGGGTCTTCTAAAATATCAACTTTGGGACTTGATGGTTAATTTTTATTCCGTTGCAAATAATCACTTGCCGTGGAATGTTGTGGAGAACTTTCTTCAGCAGTGAAGTGGACTTTATCTGTATCTGAGTTGACCTGCACTCTCCCTACCCCCTGTGTCCCATGAGTGACCTCGAGCCAGATGATTACCTGCCTGGCTCACACCTCCCAGGGTATCAGAGGGAGCTGGGTTACCTTTGACTATGTTGTGTCAAGCAGAACCCCCTACACACCAACGACCTGATGCCACAGAGCTCACTTCCCGGTAGTTCAAAGGCTCCGATGGGTCCCAGCAACCCTCCAGGTGCAGTGACTCAGCAGCCAGGCTGCCTCCATCTTGAGGCTTCACCTAACATGGCCTCGTGTGTGCGGCAAGGGAAGAGGAAGTTGGAGGGTTGGCTTCACAGCAGCTCTGAAATGATTCAGCCCAGAAGAGATCCATCACTGCTCCTAGAACATTGACCATGACTAGTCACGTGACCCTGCCTTCTCCAGTACAAGTGTAGCTGGGAAGTGTGGGGACAGGCGTGGGAATTTAGTGGATAGTTACTATCCTGGGTTGAGTTGCATGTGATCCCAGCTGGGTACCCAGGAGTGAATACTCTGGACTTTCGACTGTATCAGTCAGCAGTGTTTTGTTTGGCCAATTTCTCTAATTCCCCTTGTTCATATCACTGTCCACAAATGATTTGTCCCACCACATCTTGAAAGGCAAAAGGAAATGAAAATATAATTATACTTGCCACATGTTCTCTAATTTTAGCCTTTGGAGAGGTGGGTTTGATAATCCTTATTATACAAAAGGAAAAATTAAGGCTCAGTAGCCCAAAATAACACAGCTAATAGGTGACAAACCTAAACTTCACACTCAGTCGTAACTAAGTCAGACTCTGCCCCCGCTCCTATTGAATATAATTTGGAGTATATGATAGGGTAAATTGGGGCATAGGTGACTCAAGGGAAGGAAATGTTTTATTTTAAAATTTTATTTTACTCAGGGAACCTGGGTGGCTCAATCAGTTGAACATCCGACGTTGGCTCAGATCATGATCTCACAGTTTGTGAGTTCGAGCCCCACGTTGGGCTTGTTGCTCTCAGCACAGAGCCCCCTTTGGATCCTCTGTCTCCCTGTCTCTGCCCCTCCCCATGTTTTCATTGTCTACGGCAATGCCTAGCGCACAGGCTCTTAATAAATGTTGAGTGTATTGGATTTGTAGGCTGTATTTCTTTCTCAATTGGATTTAAAGTCAGCAGTTCTACACTTCACGACAGTAGCTAAAGCCTTTTCAGTGATGAAAGTTGAGATTGGTATAAAGCTGTGCAGAGGGTGAGGTCTTTCTGATGTTCACATGATATCTAATACTAATTGTAGGAAATGTACAATTGGATATTCGTTTCAAGATTCCGTGGAATGATGAGTAGGCTTTGCTGGTAACTCTCTAACCCAGAGGGACCCAGATATTGCTCTCAGGCAGCGCGTGTGCATTTTAGAAGAGTCTGGTGCTAAGCATTTGGATCTTAAGTATCGGTTGCCTGTTTTCCATAACATTCTTCCTTTGGAGCTTATACATATTGCTATTTATAACAGCGTGGGTGCTTGAGTTACCAGAGGGCATAAGCATGACTGTAACACACTGTGAATCTCGGTTCTTCCTTTTTACAGGATCTGCACAATTTAGATCTAATGATTGGGATTGCTTCTGCGGGCATTGCCGTGTACCGAAAATACATTTGCACAAGTTTCTATCCTTGGTAAGTGCAAACCACTTCTAATTATTTTCTGAATCATGCTTTAAAAATATGCTGAACAAAAGAAATGTTATCTCTAATTTTAAACTGGTATTTCTAAAGGAGGGGTGGAGACCAGGTTTTTACCTCTGACCTCTGAGGTTCATCCAGATTCGGTACTTGGGAAAAGGAGTTTGGTTTCCACTGGCAGCCCCTTCCTCCGGTCACCCTGTGGTTTGGGATACTCTGTGGAAACAGGGATGAAGTGGCTCAAGGCAGGTTTTGGAGTTACAGAGTCCTGGGCGGTACATTGGCCAGAACTCAGAGAACTTCCTTTGGGCAGGAACTGTATTGTCACTGTGGTTCCTTAGTTATTAGTTGGACTTTTACTAAGTATTCTGTTCTGGTCTACAAACTCAGGGGACCAAACAGACTTAATCCTCACAAGACCACTCTGAAAAAGGCAGTGCCTTCCAACTACGTCATGCAGGACTTGTTAGCAGAGGCTCAGATCTGTGCATCCCTTATTGAATGATCTTGAGCACTTAGGGGAGGTGTCTGAGCCTCAGTTTCATCATCTGAGAACTGGGAATAATAATATGTTGCAGGACTATTGCAAGGCTTAGTTGAGGGACTAATGTAAAGCTTTTAGTAGGGAACCAGTATATAAAAATGCTGCACATGGGGGCTATAATCGTGTTCTTATGCAAACTTGACACATGGCCAGTAACTACCAGAGTGGAGATGTGGGCCCAAGTCTGTCTGGTTGCTGTCTGTCCTCCCTCTGCTGCTCCACACTGCCCTCAGCTGGTCTCCCCAGGCACACACCAGCTCAAGCAGAGCTACACTGTCACAAAAGCAAATGACCACAAACAGCGCACATTGCCCATGGTTCTTGTTATTTAAAAGCTACATCGTGATTCAGTAGTCCTTATGTGATACTCAGCTTCAGTGAGCTCCTTGGTATGCAGCTAAGGCTACAGGCCTGTTGTCATTCCTACCGCGGGGTAAACTCTAGGAAGCGGAGAGCCCGTGCTCCTCATGGTCATGGAGTAGAGGATACACGTTGTGAGGCATCAGCTGCCAGCCAGCTGATCCCTATGTGCATTTTATATGTTTCATTTTTTTGCAGGGTGAACATTCTAAAGATTTCTTTCAAAAGGAAAAAGTTCTTCATACATCAACGACAAAAACAGGTGAGTTATGTCTACACTTGCTTTGTTTCTTGTGTTTTTAGCCACTTCAGCTCTTAGTTCTTCAGCAGGTGAAGGCAGCTGGCCGTCCGTGTGACTGGGGGGAGAAAGAGCATGGCATGGGGGGGGGGAGAAAATGGAAGTTGGAGTCCAGAGTTGCCTGTAGAATTCACTGTGTTTATCTGATAGCAGACGTAACTTGCTTTGGAGTTAGTAACGATGAGTTTGGATCCTCACTCTTCTACTTACCAGCTGGGCTGGTTACATAACCTCCCCTAGCCCAAGTTAGCTTGTTTCCAGAAATGTAGTAGTACCCACCTCTCCGGGAATCGAGAAGATTAAATAAAAGCATTGGTCAGAGCACCTGGCATGAGCCCATACAGCGTAGCAATACATATCAGCGAGATCAGTTCCTCCCCTTGATGTGTTTAAACATGCACAGTAACCTTTGCATGTGTCTCCTAAGAGGGACCACCACTCTCCAGATGACTCTCGTTATCAGTATGGAGAAGAGGGCTCGAAAGTGCTACCAAGTGGAGGTGCTGGAATTTGAATCAGAGATACCATGCTCTATCCTGTTATGTCCTGTATTTTTTTTATTTTTTTAATGTTTATTTTTAAGAGAGAGACAGACAGACAGACAGAGTGCAAGCAGGGGAGGGGCAGGGAGAGAGAGGGAGACACAGAATCTGAAGCAGGCTCCAGGCTCTGAGCTGTCAGCACAGAGCCTGATGCGGGGCTCGAACTCATAGACTGTGAGATCATGACCTGAGCCGAAGTTGGATACTCAAATTTGAGTGAACCACCCAGGTGCCCCATGTATTTTTCACTTATTGTCACTATGTTCATTTCCCAGGGTTTCAAAGATAATATGTACTTAAAATGGCTCCACATAGCAGTGATCACTTGGAAATGAGGACATCAGAGCTCAGAGCAAACTAGGACTAGAATCTGGGTCTTCTGACCTTCCCCTCCATTGCAAGATTGAAGGTGGCCCCAAAATGCACAACATGGTAATATAACATGAAAACAGAAAACTTAAACTCAGGTAGAATGAGGGTCAAGGAAATGATTAAATTAACTCCATGCTCAGGGGAAAGCAAATAAAGAAATCCAAAGGCTTATAAAATCTCAAGTTTCAGGTAAGTGGAAGACATTCTTCAGGAGAGATTTTCCCAGAGCTAAGTTTTAAAAGAAATGTATCACACAGCCTTTATCTGGTTGGTCCAAATATATCCAACCTAGGAATGTAAGCACATTCCAAATCAGAGTGTTCATGGAGAGTCACAAGTGATGATAAAGGGGAGAGCCAGGTCATCTTTTCCACAGGAATAAGATGCTTAACTGATCCTGCTCCTGAATAGTCCTATGACACTGGTGTCTGACCTAAGGCATTTTGAAGCTGGTTTTCCACATTCTGTTACATCTTCCCTGATGACCACTGATGCGGACATAGAACATCTATGCACCTTTGCCCTTTCATCTGTGCGGATGAAATCTCTACTGTGCTTTTTCCTCCCAGACTGAATCCAGGGAACATATTGTGGCCTTCAACATGTTAAATTACCGATCTTGTAAAAACTTGTGGAAATCCTGTGTGGAACACCATACATTCTTTCAGGCTAAGAAGCTACTACCTCAGGAAAAGAATGTTCTGTCTCAGTACTGGACTATGGGCTCTAGGAACCCCAAAAAGTGAGTATTCTTGAGGGACAGTATCCACACTAGAGTGAGACGTGAATGTGTCCTGGCCACTGCTGAGTAGAGGACATCCTCGGGGGAAGGGACGCCATCATCCAGGGACCCCAGGCGCAGAGCTGGAGCTGCGCAGTTCAGAGTCTCCCCAGGGGCAGCAGTGTCTCTTTCCATGCAAACTCAGATACTTCTATTCCTCTGCTTCCTTTCTGTCTCCTCAACTTTGCTGCCCCTGGAACACCCAAGCAGCCAGAAATGCAGCTGCTCCTGTACCGTGTCATACTAAGAGAAGCGGGTGGCAATGACTCTGAGGGTCGTCATGGTACCAAGACAACCCCTCCCACCATCTGTTACATCTTCCCTGATGACCGCTGATGCGGACATCCCTAATAACGAGTGAACAGAAATAATGCTTCCCAGGGGCGTGCCCGGGTGGCTCAGCTGGTTAAGCATCTGACTTCGGCTCAAGTCGTGATCCCACGGTCCGTGAGTTCAGGCCCTACGTCTGGCTCTGTGCTGACAGCTCGGAGCCTAGAGCCTGCTTCCGATTCTGTCTCCATCTCTCTCTTCCCCTCCCCCACTCACGCTCTGTCTCTCTCAAAAATAAATAAACATTAAAAAAAATTTTTTTAAAAAGAAAGCTTCCCAGAGTCAAGTGACTTTGGGATATGCTACCTAGTAACAACCACAAAATAACAGTAATAATGAGAACTGCCAGTTGAGTGTTTACTTGGTACCATGTGCATACTTAATTATATTTAAGTATAATTAGTATCTACAGGAACCATATTAAAAAATCATATTAAAAATGTTTAATGAGTAGTACAGTGGAAGAAATTACTCTTATAAAATTGTAACTTTAGATTACAATGTATTCCCTAAACTAATCATGCAGTTTATATTGTGTATTTATTCTAAGACTGCCTTCTCAGGACCAGATACAGCAGAAATCATTTATCAAGTTATTGTAAACTATTGGTTTGAAAAACTGCTCTCATAATTTTGCATTGTTGTTGAAGTGGCTATTACTAATGAAATAATGCCCCTGTCTGAGCCATTATCTGGTATGTGGGACTGTATCACACAATTCCAGTGACTTTCCTATTATGTTGATAATCATTAGGTAGCTTTTTATAGATTCAATTAAGTAGCGAATTAATGTTAGTAGCAGTGGTAGTATCTGTGATGCTAAGTGCTCTCTCTCAGCTTCTGATAAACCCAGAGCAAATATATTTTCAAAGTTTGCAGCTCCTATAATATTGTTTCTAGTATTTTATACATTCAGTAGCTATTACTGAAGATGTCACAGACATAACTTACTGGAATATAGTTTTTACATTAGTTGAACCTAATCCTTTGACCCAGCTGATAGGATTAGATAGTGAGCAGTTGAAAGCATGGACCGTTGCTAAGAAAACTGAGTTCAAATTCTACCACTGTCACTTCAATTCAGATGTCTTTGTTTCTGAAAAATGTAGCCAACATGGAGTTGGGGGTGAGGTGGGGCAGGTTCTGGTTACCCATTGTGGCAGAATAACCTACCCCTATTTTGGTCCCTTGAAACAAGCTTGGGGCGCTTGGATGGCTCAGTCCAGTGTCCACCTCTTGATCTCAGCTCAGGTTATGATCTCAGGGTCATGAGTTCAAGCCCCACGTTGGGTTCCATGCTGGTATGGAGCCTACTTAAAAACAAAACAAACAGAAAACCACAATCTTTCTGTCATCTGTCAAGATTTTGTGGATAAAGAATTTAGGAAAGACCATGTAGTAGACTGGGATTTCTCAGTGACAGGCAACTGGTGGCTGGGCTGGGCTATGGATCCAGGATGACTTTGCTCCCATGCTTGATGGCACGATGGGAAGGCTGGACTCAGCTGGACCCTTCACTTCGTTCTGTGTCCTCTGGGCCTCGTCATGTGTGCTCTCCAGCAGGGTAGTAGATGTCTCATGCAGAAGTTCAGGGCTCCGGCCACCTAAGGCAGAAGCAGCCAGCCATCTTAAAGGCCAGGTCCAGAACTGCACAGCTACTCTTGGTCAAAGCAGTCACAGGCCAGCCCATATTCAAGAGACGAGTCAAAGAAGAGCTATAGCCATTTTTAATCTGCCACTGGGGGTCATTTGGGATATTGGTGGTTCATGGCACAGGTCATCAGTTCATTGCTGCTAAGACCAGCTTCAGTGCACTGCAGATTTCAGCCCTCACCATCTCCATTTTATAAATGAGGAAACTGAGGCATAAGGTTACATGATTTGCCCAACCCTAGGGATACATCTACATACTTGCGTGTTGGGCTCCCTGATAGAAGTTCCACATAGAAGAAACTTGTTCAGTATTTTGCAAGCTTAAGGGACAATGGAACATTTTTTCCCCCAAAGGGTATCTATTAATAACCTGTGACACATACTTTGGGGAACTACAACATCAAACCTTTGAATCTTCTAGCTTGTCCTCTTGTTCTGAGGCAGCATTCTCAATCAGTGCTAATTTGCTCTCTCATATAGATTCTCCCAGTGATGTTGCTGTGAGTGTTTTGATCCGGGTAACAGCAGTATTTCTTACTGTAAATTAGTACATTGGCATTCTAGGGCATGTTTCGTGTTCTTTTGGGTTTTTTGTCCTGCCTGTTTTTTGTTATTATTGTTTGTTTGTTTGGCTTGTGAGTTTTAGGCTGCAAGGAAATGTGTGCAATTTTTTTTTTGGTGTGTTTTTTTTTTTTTTTTTTTCTCAAAAAAAAAAAAAGGGTGGGGGGGGGGGGGGGGGGGCGGCGGGCGGGGGGGGGGGAAAGAATCTTAAGCAGGCTCTACACCCAACACAGAGCTTGACACGGGGCTTGATCCCATGAGATCCATGAGATCCCATGACCATGAGTTCATGACCTGAGCCAGAATCAAGAGTTGGATGCTTAACCAACTGAGCCATGCAGGTGCCCCTGGAATGTTTTAATAAGGCATTAAAACACCACTGAAAGTTTAGGAATAGCAGAACTGAGTTTCCTAGCTGACTTCAAACCCCATCCTTTCAAATAATTCATTCTCTGAGGGGTCTAGGTAGCTAAGATTTAAATTCTCTAGGTGTAAGTAAACACAAAAGTTAGCTTCGGGGAGGCCCTTTCTTAGAACATAGCATGGCATGTTCTTAGAACCTGCCGCTGTGAAAGCATTTTCTCAGGCCTTCTCTCAAAGAGCTATCTGTGATTTACAGCTAATGGCTTCTGCCAGCTTGCATGACGAAGAAACCTTCTGGAAGGATGGTTGATGTTTGTATTCATGCCATTGTGAATAAAGTGAGATTTCCTTTAACTTGAACTGCATTTCTGTGTTATCCTGATAGTTCCATAGTGGCATGGTTTGGTTATATTTTGGGACCAGCTTTGTTGCTTGCAGTAGTAAGGCTCAAGAAAATAGTTTTACCAGAAGAGAAGAGATAACCAGGAAGAGCCAGGACAGAACGGAACCGCATTTGACCTGCATACCTCTGACCCCTTGTAACCTTGGCTGGTGTCATCCCAGTGCTCACCAGCCGCCCACCAGGGAGGGGGAGCATGGTTAGACTCTTTGCTTCATTTATGCCATGATTTCTTGTTGAACGCGTCTGTGTGGAAAGTGAACCTTGCTTCTGGTTTTTCAGGTCTGTAAATAACCAGTATTGCAAAAAGGTGATTGGAGGGATGGTGTGGAACCCAGCCATGCGGAGATCGTTATCAGTGGAGCACTTAGAAACCAAGAGCCTGCCTTCTCGGTCCCCTCCTATCACTCCTAACTGGTACGTGCTCGTTTTTTTTTGTACTACCCACTTTCTCTCTCTTAACAATTCAACTTCATACAGTTTCCCAATATAGGCATCCTGCAATCAGAGTTTATGTTTGTGTGCTTGCTTGGTGCAAAATTAACAGTTTACTGTTGTTGTGAAATACTCAAGCCTTACTAAACATTTTCCTTAGTGTATAATTCTGGGATGTTCTCTTTTAAAAACTTATTTGGGGTGGGGGGGGCGCCTGGGTGGCTCAGTCAGTTAGGCGTCCGACTTCAGCTCAGATCATGATCTCACAGCTCCTGAGTTTGAGCCCCACATCAGGCTCTGTGTCGGGCTCTGTGCTGACAGCTCAGAGCCTGGAGCCTGCTTCGGATTCTGTGTCTCCCTCTCTCTCCCTGCCCCTCCCCTGCCAGTCTCTGCCTCTCAAAAATAAATAAACATTAAAAAAAATTTTTTTTTAAATTTTTTTTTTTAACGTCTATTTGTTTTTCAGACAGAGAGAGACAGAGCATGAACAGAGGAGGGGCAGAGAGAGAGGGAGACACAGAATCTGAAGCAGGCTCCAGGCTCTGAGCTGTCAGCACAGAGCCCGACGCGGGGCTCGAACTCACAGACCATGAAGATAATGACCTGAGCCAAAGTCGGACGCTTAACCGACCGAGCCACTCAGGCGCCCCCCCAAAAAAATTTTTTTAAATCTTATTTGGTCTGGGGGTGCCTGGGTGGCTCAGCCAGTTGAGTCTCCAACTTCAACTCAGATCATTATCTCACCTTTCATGGGTTCGAGCCCCTGCATCAGGCTCTGTGCTGACAGCTCAGAGCCTGGGGCCTGCTTTGGACGCTGTGTCTCCCTGTCTCTCTGCCCTTCCCCCATTTATTCATTTAATAAATGGATAAACATTTATTAAATGAATAAAAACTTTAAAAAAATTTTTTTATTTGGTCTGAATTTGAGAACTACAGCCTCCTGAAATGCCCCTTTGGGGAGTACAGTACACGCTGGCATACTGATGTTCTGGGAAGTCCTGTAATAAGGAAGCATGCTGAGCTTTATCTAATCTGTTTTCCGTTGGCATCGCACAAAATAAACTTTGGGAAAGCCTAGTAAAGGTATGCAATGTAGGATGCAGGATTCTGAAAAACAGTAGCTAATGCGCTTGGGGAAGTAGCCCACTGACTTTCAATATGATGGCTTGAAAGGAAGGAAGTGGCAATTTGGCCAAGTGGGAAGGGCACTGATTATATAACTGTATCACCCAGACTCAGATTTTGGCTCTTCTGTTAAATGATCAAGTTTCTTTACCTCTCTGGTCTCAGTCTCCCTATGTGTAAAAAGGTTGTAAAAATCACCACAAATGATGTACCAGTGTGCAGTGCTTTGTAAGCGATTAAAAGAAATGAGATGGAATTAGTATCATTATTTTATTATAATGTTCCTGAGAGACATCAGCCCATTTTTGTGAATGCCTCCAAAATGACCAGGTATCATCAGGGGGAGAGGGAAACCCAGCCAGAGGCACTGCCCCAGCCCCACGCTGGAATTAAGAGTATGGCTTTCTGTTCATTTCACAAAAGACAAGGTGGGCCTATAAGTTACCAAGGACGGATCTTCTAGGACTAGGGGAGATTCTAACCCACACAAAACGGAGGTGCTGTGCAGGGTGGCTGGGTGAGGACCCTCCCCCAGGGGCCCAGTGCTCTAGCCAGAGATACTAATAGTATTTAGTGTTAGAAATCACAGTATGACTGAGTAGATTCGTTTCTTGGTTTCCCACGATTTAGGCACTTCATCCTAAAGTGGTAGGTTTATGCTGTAAAGTAGCAGCTTTGTCTGCAAGCCTCTTAGGCACTGATGCCAGGGCCCCAGAGCAGAGGCCCAGGACAGCATCCAGGAGAACAGCGGGGTTTGATGTTGCCACACCCGTGGCCTGGAGCTCTTACTGCTATTTATAGGTCCCCTCCTGAGGAGTCACGAGCCTTTCTACCCTATTCTGGACACAGTATTATTGATTAGCAGAGCCCAGGGGGAATGGGAATAGTGAAGGAGGCCCTGACAGTCTCAAAGAGAAATGGCTCACAAAGAAGAAGGTGGAAAAGCTGAGAGAAGATAAAACTTAGAAGGCTCAGCAGCCTGGGATCACCCACTGCAGGAGCCGATGCCCAGGCGCTTCCCCAGGCGTCCGGAGATCATTGCTTCATTTGGTTCATTCTCAGGAGCAGGTAGGTACAGCTGAGGCCCAGAGAGGTGTTGTGACTTGCCTGCAGCCACATAGCCAGCTACTGCTGCTATGCCCACCTAACAGGGCATACAGGATATATTTTTAAAAGCAAACACTGCTTCTTGGATCAAGTGAAATTCACATGAAGGGATGTGGTTGAAATAAGGTTTCAGTTTTGCCAAAAACTGTACTTTGGCTTCTAAACCCTTTATTTATACTGGTGCTCAAATGACTCTGAAGAATTGATCAGTAGTCAGTATGGTGTGTTATCTGTGCGTTGAGAGCTTGAGTCCTACTGGAAGAATAGCTCCCTAAGTCAACACTCACCACTTCCCGAAGGGCATAAACCGCTCTCATCTGCCTACGTATACAGTCAACGCTACCGTCTTGGGGGCTATACCACGGGGCTGAGAGTCTTGAGGACCCACATGGCCCTTGGTGGATTCTGGTGTAGTAATGGGTTAACTGGTTCTTAATTTCCAATAGCGTTAGCCAAGGCATCCTTGGAAAGGTCAGGGCACAAAGCCAGATCGCCGATGTCTAACGAAGTTTTTAAGTGCAATTTGCTTTCGGTACTTTCACGCTCGACCTCTCTCCCACGCAGGCGGAGTCCTCGGCTCCGGCACGAAATCCGGAAGCCACGGCACTCTTCCGCAGATAACCTTGCGAACGAGATGACGTACATTACCGAAACTGAAGATGTGTTTTACACGTACAAGGCCTCCCTGTCCCCGAAAGACAGCGATTCCGAGGTTTCTCAGAACCGGAGCCCTCACCGAGAGTAAGAACTATGTTGTTCTCTTCTTTGTATCTGCTTGTTTTGGCTGTTGAGGAATTTGCTCAAGCCCACATGGCCATTTAGGTCAAGGGCTAGAGCCTGCAGCCAACACCCTATGGTGCTCTCTGCCAGGATGACGGCATAAGTCAGACTGTCCGTTCCACCACAGGACGACAAGCTGTGTGCCTGAGGTCCAGAGCTTGCACTCATTTTTGTCTGTGACAGAGACCTACTCTCCGCATATGTGTTGCTCCCTTGAATAGTCTCTAGTTCATGAGCAGAGCCCAGGTTAAATGAGTTCACATTCCAGGGGTATAGATGCGTTAACTGCTGGAGTATTTCTCTAGATTGCCAAAGTTTTACCACTACAGGACTCCTAGATCACTGGAAATACGCTTACTTCTACCTGTCCACAGAAAGCCTTCTCAGACCCACAGTATGCCCTCAAGGTTTGCTTTAGATGAATTGCGAGTATAAAGCAAAAACATGCATAGAACATCTCTGAAACTTTGTTAACTTTTTGTCAACAGTTTGCATTAAGTTCCTTTTATGCCCCCATCTTCCTTTTTATAAATGTGACAAACTCCCTTCACATCTCAAGGCCAGGGAAAAATGTCTCTCTGAAAGTACTGGCTTGAGTTCTTTTATTATTCAATAAGGTATATCTAATTCACTAGTTCTCTTTTCGTCTTGCTTACCAGGGAACTCAGAGCTCCATGTTAGGTTCAATTGCACTGGCTTCCCTTAGCCCAGGTTTCCAATACAGCCCCTGTTTCTTTTCCTCCTTGCCTTATTCATGGGTCTTACTTTTTTCTCTCAATGAATTCACAGTTCTCCCATATCTATACATTGTAGAGTTAGCTACCTCAAATTTTTTAAAGTAGACATGATCAAAAAGTGACATTTTAAGCTGAACTATGAGAGAACTGGAGCAACCATTAGGAAGTCACCCACAGGCACTGGGTGCTCATTCTGTTAAGTCCCATACTGTACCCGAACTATAGAAACATAATGCCTCCCTGAACAGCCCAGGATTAGCAAGAAGCCACTTAAGTTAATCTGTAAATTTTTACCACTCTAGCTGCTAGGCTTAAAGCATTAAACGCATCCTGATTGTATTCTAGACATCGGCAGGTGAATTGCAAATCTCACTTCCCATTTATGTGTGAGGTTGTCACCTCTCTGTTGTCTCTGACCTCAGCAGACATGGTTGCCAGCTTATCTGTGTTCTTAACACCTCTGGTTAAATAATCCGCTAGTTCCTTGTGACCTGGGCTTGGATGATGCTTTTGCAGAAATGATCAGTATCTCTTGCCCCAACTTGCAGCTCCATTGAAGTGACAGTGTGGAAGGGTGTGAGTTCCTTCGTGGGACCCCATGGTTTTGCAAACCTAGATATACAAGGCAGGAATGCAGGCGTGCATGAATTGAGCCAGTTTGATTCTGCGATGGGCTTCTGTGGCTTTGGGGAAGGTGAAAGAGCGTTTAGGAAATGCACCGAGGGCTCCGGAAAGCTCAGTCACACTCCCCATGTCAGCCCTTCCTCTTGTGGTATGTAGTCCCATCATGGCGTTGGGCAGTATCTCGACTTCCCCTGGCCAGTGCAGTAGCCTCTAGTCACGTGTGCCTATTCAGATTCAAATTACTTAACATTTAAATGCCCTCTTCAGTCATCCAAGCCTCATTTCAAGTGCTGAAGAGCCCCATGTAGGTAATGACTGCCATGCTGGACAGCGCAGATAGAGCATTTCCATCATCACAGACAGTGCTATTGACAGTACTTACCAGTGCGGGCTAGAAGGAGACGGATTGTGTCTGGTGGGGTGTGGGTATTTTAAAGGGTTACGTGCATGGCTGAGTGCAGCAGCGTAACTTCTGTGCCTTTTGCTGCTCATTGAGGGGACATCAAGGGGAAGTAGACAAGTCTTTGCGTTAAGGGGCCTCCAGTCCAGTTGGGCAGATAGCACACAGTCAGCCTTCCTCCTTGCATCTTCTGCCACTTTTGTAAAAGGAAAGAGTTTGGGGAACAGTCTGAGGTCCCATGTCAGGCTTTCCTCCTGTGGTCTGCCACCCCATCATGGAATCATGCAGCAGCTAGACCCTCACAGTCAAACACAGGAGCCACAGTCCACGTAGGGCCATTTAAATTTATGTTTTTTTAAGTTAGATTCAAAATTCACTTCCTTGAGTCCCGTTTGACTCAAGTAATTTTGGGCCCTTGCACACCCCTAAACACTGCACATCAATTCTGAAACTCTTGCATGAGACCTTGTAAGGTGGGTCGTCCTGGGGCACTTTTTCGCTGCAGCTGAATGTTGAACGTAGTGGATAGCGACTCCAAGCAGCCTTCCTTGTCGCGGCTTTGAGCCAACAGACGTCTCCCAGAGTCAGGTTAGCAGCCGGGCGTTGTGAGTGGGGTAAGCAGTTGAAAAATGGCAGCCCCTACCGGACCGCTTCCTGCTGGCAGAGCCAGCTGCACCCTCCCCAGGAGTCTGGGGTCCCCCACTGCCCAAGGCAAGCAGGAAAAGTTGATCTGTGCTTGGTGGGGGGGGGGAGGGGGAGAAACCTGTTGTAGTTGAGTTTCTGCAAGGTGTCGAGGAAACGTGTGGCATGTTTTATACAGCCCGTCTGTGTTAAGAGGCAAAAAGGAGTGTTCCGTCAGAGAAATCGGATGAATAACATCACAGGCGGTAAGTACGGAGGGTTCCTTGTGGAAAGGAGAAGTAAGCGTAACATTCTGTACCCATGTAAACAAGAAGAAGAAAGAGAAGAGAAGAAAAAGAGCAGATAGACTTTGGCTCTAAACCCAGGGTGGCGCGGCTCAGGCTCTCCACACGTTATCTTAGCGGGTGAGTCACTCTCCGGGTTGTTCCGTATTTATAGCAGCACAGCAAAGTTGATGATTATAGTTATGAATCCTTGGCAGTTTGTTTTGTGCCCGAGTCGGCTGTAGTCTTTTGTTAACTCCCAGGTTTCTCTCGGCCATTCCGTGTCCCTTTGCTTGCTTCAGAGTGAAGGCCGAAATCTGCAGCAAAGGAAGTTTCCTTCATGGCAAAAACAAAAAACAAAAAAACAACTTACCATTCCCTAACACCCAGAAAACGTGGGAGGGGAATCTCCCCAAAGGAAAAGTGACTTTGCAAAGCAGAGATTAAAAACAACTTCTGCAGGGGCGCTTGGGTGGCCCAGTCGGTGAAGCGCCCACCTTTGGCTCAGGTCATGATCTCAAGGTTCAGGAGTCTGAGCCCCGCGTCGGGCTCTGTGCCGACAGCTCAGAGCCTGGAGCGTGTTTCAGATCCTGTGTCCCTCTCTCTCTGCCCCTCCCCCCAAAAGATAAATAAAAAACATTTAAAAATTTAAAAAAAAACAACTTCCGGGGGTGCCTGGGGGGCTCAGTTGGTTGAGCATACCACTTCGGCCCAGGTCATGGTCTCAGGGTTCACGAGTTCGAGTCCCACATTGGGCTCTGTGCAGACGGTGATGAGTCTGCTTCAGATAATCTGTCCCCCTCTATCTCTGTACCTTCCCCCCCCCCAAAAAAAATAAACATTTGAGGCACCTGGGTGGCTCAGTCAGTTGAGTGTCCAACTTCGGCTCAGGTCATAATCTCATGGTCAGTGAGTTCGAGCCCTACATCGGGCTCTGTGCCAACAGCTCAGAGCCTGGAGCCTGCTTCAGATTCTTTGTTTCCATCTCTCTTCCCCCCTTCTCTGCTCACACTCTGTCTCTCTCTCAAAAAATAAATAAACAAACAAACAAACATTAAAAAAATCAATAAGCATTTAAAACCACAAAGACAACGACAACTTCTGTGCCCTGAGTGGGACTTCAGAAATGCCTCTCTGCAACCACATCAGCAGTGCAGAATGCCGTCCGCCCTGTCACCCAGTCGCCCCGTTGGGGATGGGGAGCCCTCCTGCAGTGTGGCAGCCTGTTCTGGTGTTGGACAGCCCAGTTGTCCAGACTGTGTGGGAAGTGTCCTTGATGCTGACCCAGCATGAGCAGGGCCGTCCACAGATCCCTGCCTGGAGCTCCATTTCTGATTCTACCCGGTAACCCCATCTACTACCATCTACTCTCCTTTACACGAAACGACTCCAGTTCTGTCAGCTACTCTCCACCCCTCGGCCTGCTAGTCACTGTTCCCTGAGCACATCGGTCCTACACTGGCCAGTGGCACACAGATCTGTGTACATCTGAGGGTCTCTGTCAGAGGAGGCCAGCCAGTGACAGGACTGCATCAGCAGTTTTGTGTCTGTTTTCTCTGCACGCTGCCTGTCCTTCACCGGGCGTCTGTCCACGTGCATGTAGACGTATAACTGATACTTGAAGCCCCAAGGGACCCCAATCTCCACTCATCGTCTCCCTGTCCAACCTGTGGCTCCTCCTGTGTCTTGGTGAAAGCGGCCACATTTGCACCCTGTTTGCACCCATTAGAAACTTCCACCATCCTGGACTCCTTCTCTTCCACCTTCCTCAGCTAGGCTCTCTCACCTTGTTGGTCTTCCTCCCGAACATCTCTTGAATCGGATCCCTCCGCCATCCCACTGCACTGCCTGTGTCAGCCACCGTCGTCTGTCACAGAGACTGTTGCGAAACCGCCCTAAGTGTCCTCCTGGCTTTGGTCTCTCCTCCTTCCAAACCATCTTTCACAAGGCTGAGAGCCTTATTTTTATGAAATCTGTGCCCCAGCACGTCACTCCCCTGTGCTTTTTCAGAATCTCATGCCTCTGCATGTGCTGCTGTCTTGTCTCTTTTGTCGTTAGTAGTGTTTGGCCTAGACCCCCTTCTGCTTCCCCTCCTGACTACCTGTTCAGACCCTTCCTAATTCATCTTTCAAACTCCAGGCACAGTTCCCTCTCCTCTGTGAAGGCTCTCCTGACCTCCCACCATACCCCAGACGCCTGAGCGTCGCCATTGCAACACAATGATATTACTTGATTAGTTTTATGCTTTTGTGTCTTCTCCTTGACTAGACAGTGAGCTCTTTGAGGGTAGAGGGATAGTGCCCTGCTGACCTCTCCTTCCCCCGTAGATCTGGCACAGTGCTTGAGACTTAGTACCTATTCCGTGACTGTTCGCGAGATTGGACAGACGGTTACATGCAAGCCCCAACGTTGTCACAGCGGGATGCCCCCTCTGCCACCTCCACGTGAGGTGCCCATATCCTCTGAACAGCATCACATGGCGTCTGTGTCCACGAAGAAATCAAACGGATTGACTTGGCCGAGTTTGGGTGAACTGTCATCCGTGAGCACAGCCGTGTGGTTGGGGCTACTGCAGGGCCAGGGCCTCTGGCAGGAAACTCTCATCAGAGAACTCAAGCATGAATTAGCTGAATTTTAACAAGTGCTTTCTGGCCTTTGAGATGTCTTAGTATCTGAGGGGGCAGCCTGAGGTGGGGGACAGACGCATAACCCATGATTTCATTAGTGAAGAAATGCAGAGCCCAGAAGGGAACACGTTTGTACCAGAGTCCCTGAGCCACTTCAGCAATTTCTTCAGTTTAGTTTTGATCTTGGGCCCTTGGCTTTTATTACAGAGATAAGAGTATCGTGTGAAGAACGTCTCTATATCATAAAAACCCACACTTGAAAAGAGGACTCCATTTGTTATTCGGTGAATCTGATGTAAAGATAAAATCCATGTGGACAGTTTCTCCAGGAATTTTATTCAAAGGACACATTGCATTCTTCTAGCCCTTCATAACTCCCCTTTTGGCCACAGCTCAGGAACATCAGCATCTCCTGAGAGCTTGCCGGAAATGCGGACCTCAGGCCCACCCCAGGCCTGCTGAATCAGAGTCTGCATTTTAACAAGATCCTCAGGGGACTCCTGTGAATGTGATATTCTCAGCAGCTCTGAGCTCGCAGAAGCTGAGAACTGTGTAGCCCATCTCTTCACCTCTGCTCCCAGGTGACTGGGTGAAATCTGTGCTCTTCTAGAGTAATTCAGTCAGTCCCGGGTACTTGAGTAAGGTGGTTTTCCTCTTTGTTCATTCAGCGTCTTACCTGAGCACTCGCATGCCCGGCCGAGTGTTACGTGCACTAGGAGAGGAAGAGAAAGAGGACGAAGGTCTCTCCCAACCTCAAGAAGCTCCTAGACTCCAGAGAGAAACACGACACCAAATGGCCCCTGTTCTGACCCACCCCCTTAGAGACACCACCTCACTGGTAGCTCAGTTAGAGCTGGGAAACCCTCCTTGGAGCACTGCTTCGCTTGCCTTAACAGGCTTAGGGTGGACGTCCTTGTCCTTTTGTAGGGTTTAGGGAAGAGCGGTATACAAGCGTCACACGGGAGTCTTTCGTGGGCAGTTTTAATTTTTTTAATATCGCTTCTCTTCTCACAAATGAATTCTGGCATGGCTTTTGTTTCTGATACCTGTCGTTGGCATTTACAGTTTTGAAGCTTCTGGTTCCTGAGGGTGAATACCCTTTGATCTGCCTGTCAGCCAGTCTGTCCCTGTCCCCTCTCTCCCCAGGGAGCCGAAGGTGGTCCGTCCCTCCCAGGCTGCTCTGGCTTCCAGACAACAGTGGCAGTGTCCTCTGTGTCCCCCCCCCTCCTCTGACAAGTGCCCCCTTCCTGCCTCAGGGACAGACCTCTTCTGTTCCCTCCCTCCCCAGTTATTGGCCTCGTCAGCCCACACTGTCTTCTTGCTTTGGCTCATCCTACCCCTTTCTTCACTCCTTTCCCTGGAACCCAGGTCCTCCCCGCCCCCACCCCCTGCAGCTCCCCTCATCCCTCCTCATCCACTGGGCTCTCCCTCAGTAGCACCTCACATCCTGCCCCAAGGAGGGAGAAAGCCCGCTTGGTTTGGCATCTTCGCTCGTGGCTTCCGTGTGCTGTATCCAGCTGCCACCTTCTCATTACTTCTCGTTTGATGTCCTCCTCACCATCTGTCTGTCCATCCTCCACGCTGAGCAGAACGTTACAGCAGCCTACAGGGAACGTCTGTACATAGTTGATCAGCCAAAAAAAATTGTCATATGTTTAATAAATTGCTCTCTAAAAGTAACCTCCATCCCTACTTAGAAAATAGGATTGGGCACATAATGACTTTGAATATATTATTTTTAGCACTGTGGGCTGTGTTAGGTAGACGGTTACATTTTATACTGAAAAAGAAAAATACTTTAAAACTTTATATGATGCAAGCCACACATTCAAAATGTAGAAATTAAATATAATGAATATAAAATTAGAATTTTACTGAAATTAGTCTGTTCTCTTCTGCTCTGTCACCTGGCTCTTCTGGTTTTTTGTTTATATGCCCTTCACCCTTTCTGTCACTGTCACCCTCTAGAGCCTTCCAAACATTTGAAGAGTGTATGCTATTTGCAACTTCATATTAAGGGTTCAGCTCCACCCCTAGAACTGGAAATAGTGTTTCCTAAACCGGGTTTGGCTCGATTTTTGTCTAGCAGCTGCCAAGCAGCTGCGCTTCTTGCCACTAGGGGGTGCTCTTGTAAATGTTAAACTGGCTGAGTTACCCTACTTGGGGGGAACTTTTTTTTTTTTTTTTAAGTTTCAATTAAAGTCTCTTTCGTTTCAGTCTGAAAATCTACCACTGGTATACAGCTTCACTTCCAAAATATCCTATGTCTGAGATGCCTTGCCATCCATAGCACCCTTCCCTCACCCAGCAACTCGAAAGCCATAAGGCCAAACTCTTCGCTTGCATATAGCTGTTATTTCTGTCACTGAATTTTTATATTCACATAAGTTGAGATGGTGAAGTATTGTGTGACTATGACACAGATTTTAAATTTAAAGTAAGATCATTTGAACTTGCTAGGGAACAGAGGAGCCCTGATTTAATGAAAAATCCACAGACAAGGGTTTAAGAGAAAATTTTAGTGAGAGACAGCAGGAACTGTCTTTTGTGTACTACGTGTCACTGAATGCCTTGTCTCCTCACCTCTCTCATGACTTAAATCTGTATGAGGTTAGAATGTGGCAGAGTCTGTAGAAGGTAAGGAAAACCCTACGTTCTGTAGGCATTTTAAGGCATCACTCGCTAGGCATGTGGCTCTGCAGGGGGATGGTGTGGGTGTGCGTGATGCAGAGAAGTCAAGTGTCCTACACGGTGACGGCTGAGATGGTTTCTCCCTGTGGCCCTGTGAGCTTAGAGAGGTGAGGGTGGGGAGGAAGGAGTCTTAAGAGCAGACGTGGCATGGCCTGGAGAAGAAAGAGATGCTCAGGCACCCAGGTCCACCAGCTTCTGTATGTTAAGTGAGGGGAAAGCTGTGTGTCCGTGGGCAAGTCAGTCAGCTGTCTAGACCAGTTTCTTCATCCGTGAAATGGGAGTTGGACCAGAGGACTGCAGAGGTCTGTTTGATTCTAGAAGTCTATAATTCTCTAAGACATCACTTCCAGGAGATCTTCCTGTGATGATAGAAATGTTCTGTAACTGTGTTGTCCAAAACGGGAGCCACCAGCCACATGTGGCTCTTGAGCATTTTTGAGATGTGACTGATACAACCAAGGAACTTCTAGATCTTCATTGAAATTTGAATAGCTGCAGGTGACTAGTGGCTACCATATTGGGCCGTGTAGCTCTAAGATGAGGGAGGACGTTGATTGGAGAAAAAAAAAAAAGAAGGATAATATCATTGGAGACAATTAATGGAGGTCACAGGCAAATAATGCAAACTAGGATTAATATAAATGGTCTTGAATGTGCAGTGTTAGTCCCATTTTTGGGGGGTAGCCAAGAGTCCTACTGAAGCAGAGCTAACAGCAGGAATGAGATGGAAGGAGAACGCTTTCAGAAGGAATGGAGACATGCGTCTGAGTTAGCTCCGGTCATTAAACCACCAGGGTAGCCAGGCGTGTTTCCCTGTCACCTTCTAACGCAGCTGGGAAGGGAGCTGAGTTTTCAGCAGCTCCTGGATCCTCCCTCCCCTCCTGCCCCTTATCCCCAAAACTAAAGGTGATGATATTTAGGCCAGATGAGGGTAAGGGCAGCCAGTGGACCCCAGGTGGGCCAGAGCCCTGGGGTTGACCTTTGGAGCGCTTCTGAGCGTGCAGGAACTCATGACAGCCCTGGGATGCCAGGCCCCCACAGCCAGTAATGCTTGCTCTGCTACAATGTTAATCCAGTTATTAAGATATCTCCTCCTTCCCCATGATGAAGGAGTCTATCCGAGAACAACCCAGCACAAAGCTGCCTGACCCAGAAGTCATCCAGTTCTGTATCTCCATCTTCAAACGCTCCAGGCTCCTGCTCAACAGATGGCGTTGATCAGCAGTTCATAGAGGCCTTCCACAGGGTGACCAAAGGGGGCTCCACCGAGGACTCCAGCCAGTACTACTGTGACAAGGTGGGTGAGCTTGGGTCCTGTGACCCAACCAGGATTCCCTGTGCCGTAAGGCACGTCACGGGCAGTTTAAGTAGTTAGAACTAAAAGAAGATATCTCCTCACCACCAGCTGGAGAGAGAAGTAACATTGTTGATCATTTTTGCAACGTTTTCCAGAATGATAATGGTGATGGCTACTTAGTTTTGATCCGCATCACGCCAGACGAAGATGGAAAATTTGGATTTAATCTTAAGGTATGTTGTGTGTCTTTATAAGGAAGTTGTATGCTCTGGAGCAGTCTTTAGGTGGCTTTTAAACTTCCCCCAGGGGTGTGCTGCGTGCCTCAGTCTAATCTAAGGAAACTGGGGAGTTTTCTAATATGGCCCCAGAGCTGCCTGACACCAAGGACCTACTGTGTTCTTGGTGTTTGCTGTGCACTTCTTTATATCACCTTATAGCGTTCTTATAATCGGGGAAATTGGTATTTTTGAACCCATCTTATAAATGCGTATACCGAAGCTCGGAGATGACACACAGTCAGCAAGCAGACCTGCCTCCAGAAGATGGGTTTTTCGGGGAGCCTGTCGGCATCACTAAAGCCAGTGAGAGAGAATAACAGTTCAAGTTGGAGGGACATTTACAGGGCCTTTCCCCATCTCTGCCTGCTTTTAGGCCGGGTCTGCAAACTGTGGCCCACGATCCACATCCCATCTGTTTTTGCAAATAAAGTATCATTGGAACACGGACATACCCATTCATTTACGAACGGTTTACAGCTACTTTGGCACTCGGGCAGAGCTGAACACTTGCGACAGAGGCCTCTCTCCCAGACCTAAAATATGTCCCCTCTGGCCCTTGGCAAAGCTGACTAACCCCTGCTCTAGAGCAGAATGAGGGCAGGTGGTCCCTGCTGCCCAAGCCCCAGCTGCCACCAGGCACTCCCCTTCCTGTACCCCAGCACCCTGCTGAGGCCCTGCCCTCACAGCCTGTGACTGTCTCTACAGCTTTTCTCTGCTACACGGAAAGCTCCCATTCCAACAGCACTTCAAGTCTGTGCGTGCAGAGCCCTCTGGGGACGTTTGCATTTTGTAAAAGGAAGCACACCTGAGCGCACCTTTAGTTCGTGATGGCAGCGAGAGGCTTCTGAGCAGGCTTCTGGTTACCCCACTAGACCCCGAGGGGTCAGGAACCTTGTGTGCTGAAAGAGTGCCAAGCCCTGGGATTAGAATAGGTTAAAGTGAAGTATGAGCCCCTCTTGTGTCTGCAAGTCTTTGTTGCTATGAGCTATTCAAGTGTTGTTGTTGTTGTTGTTTTTAATTTAACACGTTTATAGGGAGGAGTGGATCAAAAGATGCCTCTTGTGGTATCAAGGATAAACCCAGAGTCACCTGTAAGTTAACACATTTCATTATTTCCTACATGTTTTTTTCCGTTGAATCTAACATTTCTGTTTCTGTGTCCTGCTTCTTTGCCAGCAACAAAGAGTGTGTGTAAATGCATGCATAGAGATGGAAAGAAAGAATGGAATCCATGTTTTTTTTCCCAGAACTTTGCTGGTCAGTGTAGCACCAGCATTACCTGGGAGCTCATTAGAAATGCAGGATCTGGGGCGCCTGGGTGGCTCAGTCGGCTAAGCGTCCGACTTCAGCTCAGGTCACGATCTCACGGTCCGTGAGTTCGAGCCCCGCATCGGGCTCTGGGCTGATGGCTCAGAGCCTGGAGCCTGCTTCCGATTCTGTGTCTCCTTCTCTCTCTCTGCCTCTCCCCCGTTCATGCTCTGTCTCTCTCTGTCTCAAAAATAAATAAACGTAAAAAAAAAACAGAAATGCAGGATCTCAGGCCCTACCCCAGACCTCCTAAACCAGAATCTGCATTTTTACCGAGGTCTCTGGGTGATCGGTGTGCTCGTTAAAATGTAGCAGTACTCTCAAGAAAAGGAAACTGAGGCACAGAGTTTGCTGTTCTGCTCACTCTGGGCACATGGACCCACCATCCCACCACCACCACTCTGCCCTCTGCCTTCTGTCTCGGCTTCCTCGGGAGAGCATTTGCTTTTTTTCTAGAAGAGGGTGCACCAAAGAGTCGCTGTGTCTCCTAAGAAAGTACCGGTTTGGAAGTTTTACTCTTAAGTGGTCCTTAAGCCTGTAGTTTACTTTTTCTTACTGTTAATGGCCTCTTTGAATTTAGAGGGTCTCCATTCCTACACTAGTCAGTGTGCTGCTTCTCTGCGTGCTAGTTTCTGCCTTTGGTGTTACATTGTTTCTCCGATGCAAGATAGACCAATACTTTCAACTGACAGATCATTTTCTAACAGCACATCAAGAAAACAAAAGATCAGGAGCCTCACAGTACGTTACAGTACTTAAGTGAAGGTTGGCTACCAGAGAGAAAGGGCTTCAGTAATTGCCGTAGCCTTATTCTGAAAATGCTGCAATAGCTTACGTTGTGACCAGCATCTTTTTCGAATCCCACAACCAGCGACCATGTCAGCCTAGTAGTGGATATAAACATAGTGGCAGTCGTCCCCGAGGGAGAAAAGAACTTGAACGTGGTCTTAAGTGTTTGGGCTCCGAGAGCATCCGCGTTCTACCCTTGAGGATTGTGTTATGATAACTGAAGAAACTCGCTTTTCCTCTCCACCCAGGCGGACACCTGCATTCCTAAGCTGAACGAAGGGGATCAAATTGTGTTAATCAATGGCCGGGACATCTCAGAACACACCCATGACCAAGTGGTGATGTTCATCAAAGCCAGCCGGGAGTCCCACACGCGGGAGCTGGCCCTGGTGATCAGGAGGAAAGGTAACTGCCACCACAGGAGAGGAACCGCGGGGCCTTCGCAAAGCAGGGCCCTCTCCGACCCATTTTGTGGTTTTGAAAATGTTGAGCCTAGGGCGCCTGGGTGGCTCAGTCAGTTAAGTGTCCGACTTTGGCTCAGGTCATGATCTCGCGGTTCGTGAGTTCAAGCCCCGCGTCGGGCTCTGTGCTGACAGCTCAGATCCTGGAGCCTGTTTCAGATTCTGTGTCTCCCTCTGTCTCTCTGACCCTCCCCTGTTCATGCTCTGTCTCTCTCTGTCTCAAAAATAAACGTTAAAAAAATTTAAAAAAAAAAAAAAAGAAAATGTTGAGCCTTGTAGCCAACATGGGAAAATCAAGAACCAGGATGTGGGACTTCTCACTTGAGAAATGTGAAGCTCTGCCCACGCGGGGCCCAGCCCCTCCTGGCCAGTCCTCTGGAGGTAGGTGGGACCTACCCACCCCCTCGGTGCAGGACCTGAGCCCTGATTTCTTCCAGGCTGGCTCCCCCACATCCTGCACCTCTCTTTGCTGCCTGCGCGCGCCCCCCGCCCCCCCCCCCCCCCGCCCGCCAGATGTTTGCATTTGGGGTCAGGGAGCAAAGGGTCAGGTTCTGTTTAAGTCAGTAAAGTAGAGTCAGGCAGGAGCCTGGCTGTTTCAGAGTGATCCTACCTCCACCTCTCCTGGGTTGAGGGACCTTCTTACCCAGTCTGTGCCTCTGTTCCCTCTGATGTAAAATAAGGGTGATAATAAATCACTCCATCACGGGGTTCTTTTGAAGATGAAATGCTTATCCTTGGAAAGCAATAGGATGCTTCCTGATGCCTGGTAGGCGCTTGAAGGATGGCCTCTGTTGAATACCATTACTGTTGTTGTTGTTGTTGTTAAACAGTAAGCCGAGTCCTTGAATCCTTCTGCCCAGTTCTAAAATACTGACGGTGAATGGAATGTGTGACTCAAAGCCCCGGCCACACATCTGTGTTCCGGCAGCACAGGTGTAGGCACAGCCCTAGACCCCCGCACACCTGCTTTCCCTCTGTTCCCTTACATCTCCAAGCCCAGAGCTGTGCCCTGCCAGCTCTCATCCCTCCTCCTCTGGGAGGCCTCGGATCACTCCAGATCCCCCCCCACCGCCCCCCCCCCCACAACTGGCCCATCCCCACTGAACCCCGATGCCACGCCCAGCCGCAGCAGGTGTTCAGGAGTGATAGTAGCTGATGTCTGTGCCACACCAGCAAAGGGCCTTGCACTGTGTAAACTGCTTTACATAACACTTTTGTAGGGTCTGTATGACATCTCCAAGTGAGGGAATGAGGAAACCTCGTCTGGAGAGGTTAAGTTGCCCCTCGGCCCATGACTGTGAAGGCTGCATGGCAGGAAACCAAGGTATCCAGTGATTGGGGGTATGCCTTCTCACACGATGCCCCGGGGCATGCTGGCCACCACAGGGGGCAGCACTTAAGTACTCTGGCCAGCCGGGGAAGGGAATCCTCCACCAGCCCGGTTTGAGAAGCTGGCACTGGTTTGAGAGGCAGAAGATGGATGTTTGTAGACTCTTAGAGATAAAAGGGCAGTGCCACTGGTTGGCACTCTTGATTTCAGCTCAGGCCATGATCTCGAGGTTCGTGAGTTCAAGCCCCACATCAGGCTCCACGCTGACCGTGCAGAGCCTGCTTGGAATTCTCTCTCTCTCCCTCTCTCTCTGCCCCTCCCCTGCTCGTGTCTGTCTCTCTCTCTCTCCCTGTCTCTTTCTTGCTCTCTCTTAAATAAAACTAAACATAGAAGTAAAAATGAATTGATGAATGAAAAATAAACAGCACAGGGAGTAGCAGATCAAACAAATCACATCCTCACAAAACAGCAGAAGAGCTACGCTTCCCTGGTCTGTGAAAAGAATGTGGTCTTTCGGATCAGAGAGATGTGGGCTGACTGGATTCCTTTGTGTCCTCCCGCCTCCGCCTGCCCCGAAGAGTCTGACACTTTGGACACTTTGGACAACTTCTTTAGCCTGATGGTCGATTTCCTCATCTGTAAAATGGGGACCGTGGCAGCTGGTTCAGCATTCGGTTCGACTATGTGGGCAAATGCAGACGTTGTTTTCCTTCTCCTTTCTTATTGTCCTGAAGGCAATGGGGAGCCACTGAAGGCTTTTGAGTAAGGGAGTGACTTCCTTGGGTGGAAAGGGAAAACTCAGAGATGATCCCAAAGTTTCCATTTTGGGAGATCAGAGAAGAAAGTGACGACGGACAGAAGGAGGCATGTGAGAGTGGACAGGAAGTTAGTGTGGGGGGTAGCGTTGGGAGGGGACTTGGTTTGTCTTTACCCATACAAGTCTGATGTGAAGGGAGAATTTGTACTGAAGAGGGAGGACCAAACCCGTGGGAGGTGTTAGGACTAGATACATTTAGTAATAAATGTATTTAGGAGCCTCCTACCTAAAAATGTCCTTGAGGTAGAGGTTGCCGGACTCCGTGGGACAGTGCTGTCATAGTGTATCCAGGAAAAATGCATGTTTTAAGGGAGTAAATGAAAAGGACCTGAGAAAGAAGTGGGGGAGAGAAGAGATAGGTGGAAGAATAACCAGGTCAGAGAGAACATTCTTTCCCTTTCTCCTACCTTTGTCAAAAGGCTCTGAGTACAAAACGCCATCATTTAAAACTAGCCAGAAAGATTAGTATGTCGTTTTGTATAATTAGCACTTACTGAATCACTCAAGAAGTGGTGTCTTTGGTGAAAATGATTACCATGTGCTGAATCACTTAATTAGCTGTTTTAAACTATCTGCATTCAGGTGTCATAAGTATCATTTTTTTTGAGGAAACAGATCAGCCCCTGCCAGATACCCTCTTTCTTGTCCATTACAGCTGTCCACTCATTCACTGACATCAGATCTGAAGATGAACTGAACCAGCTTTTCCCAGAGGCCATTTTCCCCACTTGTCCAGAGGGTGGGGACACCTTGGAGGGATCCATGGAACAGCTAAAGAAGGGCCTTGAAAGCGGGACAGTGCTGATCCAGTTTGAGGTAAGAGACCATGAGGGCTGAGGCCTGGGCCCGGGCCTCAGTGCCTCGATGGGCTGCTCAGTGGCTGCTGAGTCATCTGAGTCACCAGGCGGCCTGAGCTCATGGTGGGAACACAGGCAGAGCTCCGAGGGCAGGGTGGCAGAGCAGGCCTGGAAGGCAGGGGATAGGACCACAGCTATTGCTGAACTCTACCTCACCCTCTTATCTAGTAACACTCGGTAGTCATGGAGAATCATGTCAGGAATCGAGGAGGAGGGACTCTGAGCGTATTTAGCTGCCAACACAAAAGCTTGAAACACACAGCAGGAGAAGGTGCTGGAGAGGCAGTGTGAGTGAGCCCCGGAGGGGTGGTGGAGAAGGCCATCCCTGACCCCAGCAGACCCCCTCCGTAGTTCGGAGCAGGTCGTGTCATCCCAGGAAGGCAGAGTGGCTGGCCTGCCCAAGTCCCCTGGACCTGTGTGAACAGGAGTAGGAACAGAGTCAGACCCTGTCGTCCTTCCCCAGGAGGGGCCTCGAATCACAGAATTGAGACCATTGACAAAGACACATGCAGAGCCCCCACAGAACAGGGCAGAAACAAAGGAGATTTGGCTTTTAAGTCCATTGTATTGATCACTAACAGAGTGAAAATGGAATGTGTTTATCTTCCACATTTGTTAGAAGTAGAAGAAGAGGAGTTCATGCAATTAAACAGAAGAGCACAAAGAAGCCTAAAGTAGACCGTTATGAGAAAATAGGGGGTGCCTGGCTAGCTCAGTCAGTAGAGCATACAACTCTTGATCCTGGGGTTGTGAGTTCAAGTCCCATGTCAGGTGTGGATATTGTTTAAAAATAAAATCTTTAAGGGGTGCCTGGGTGACTCAGTGAGTTGAGTATCCAACTTTGGCTCAGGTCATGATCTCATGGTTCTTGGGTTCAAGCCCCACGTCAGGCTCTATGCAGACAGCTCAGAGCGTGGAGCCTGCTTCAGATTTTGTGCCTTCCTCTCTCTCTGCCCCTTCCCCGCTCACACATACACACAAACTCTCTCTCTCTCTCTCTCTCTCTCTCTCTCTCTCTCTCTCTCTCAAAAATAAATAAATATTAGAAAAATTAAAATCTTTAAGAAGTGCCTGGGTGGCTCAGTCGGTTAAGCGTCTGACTCTTGATTTTGGCTCAGGTCATGATCTCATGGTTCATGAGATCAAGCCCTGAGTGGGCTCCCCTCTGACAGTGTGGAGCCCACTTGGAATTCTCTGTCTCCCTCTCACTCTCTGCCCCTCCCCCATTCTTCCCTCTCAAAATAAATAAACTTTAAAATTAAAATCTTAAAAAAAATAAAAGAAAATAGATCATGATTAACGACAACATACACAGTCTGGATTCACAAATTAGGAAAGAGTCCCAGATCAGATTCAAAAGCACAAGTCAGCCATAGCAAGGGAAAAGTCACAGAAGCAAAACTAAGAAGTTTGTTTGTCAAATGCATGTGATCGCATATTGACTCAGGAAAGCTTGAGTAATGTGAACACGAAACAGGAAAGAATGCAAAGTGAAGAGACTTAAGCAAAAGAAAAGTTTATGATGGTATAAGGAATAGAATGTAAATAAAATAGATTATTAGAGCAGTGTGTATCTGAACAACAGTAGAAAATAAAAACCCACAAGTGAAAGGTGATGATAATTGACCCCACCCTGGAAAACAAAATATAGCTCCCTATTGTGTGGAAATGAAAGCTGGGTAAGAGAGTAGGAATAATCTAATTACTTGGGTAGAAGTGATAGATATATACTGAGTATCTACAAAGAGAAATAGCCCTTTTTTCCAGTGTCCTGCAAGAGGCTCTATTGGCTTAAGTTCAAAATTGAAATATACATTTTAAACACTGTAAAACTCAACATTTTAAAACCCTCTCCAAAATAATTGAAACAAGGAGAAGGTAAAAGCCAGTTACAGAATATGGGTTTTTTTTGTATTGGGCATTGGAGGGGATGGGAAAGGGGGGGGGGGGCACCATGGAGGCATTGATTCATTCAGCAAGCGTATATTAGGTATTTCATTCATTTCAGCAAGCGTATATTAGGTATTTACCATGTGCCGAAACCACTAGATCAGGAGCACAATGAGGGGAAGGGAGGGTTTCTGGTCCCAAGGAGCTTACGGTCTAATATTTGGGGAATGTATCATGAGTCCCAGAAACCACTAAAGACCAAGGTAGGACAAGCTTTCCTTATGTAGGATGTATGCTCTGTAGGAACTAGAGGTAAGGGGGTTCCGGGAGGTCCTCTGGGGTGAGATATATTGATAGAGAATGGGTGGGATTAAGTGTGGAGGGAAGGTCGTTCCAAGAAGGTCACAGCCTGAGTGCAGACTAAGTTCCTAAGGTGTCAGGTAGCACAGGGAAACAGGCCTCCCTGAGTTGAGCAATGCAACAGAGTCCTGGGAGAGTCTCCAGGCAATGGAAGTCCTTCCAGTGCGCACCATTTGTCCCTGATCAGATTGTCCACAGGGAGGCACTGTGGGCTCCCAAAGAGGGAACAAGAGCTTGACTGTGGTTCTGAAACCGTGCTCCAGAAAACCCCCTCCACTCAGCTGCCTCCACTTTCGTTATTCATATGGGAATCCCACAGAAGATCTTCCTTACATGCTGTTCACTGAACTTCACTAAGAAGTTTATAAATACTTGAGTGAGAAGTACCCACTATCCTGTCGTTCTGAGGAGTGTCTCTCCAAGGGTGATACCCTCACCACCTGCATGTGGCCTGAGGAACATGTTAAGTGGGGCCCCGCCCACAGCTGCTGGGTCAGCCCTACTAGGTGCTGCTGCTCTGCACAAGATCCGCAGGAGGATTTAGTGCACAAGGTGACCTAAGGGACGACAGAGAAGAGATTGTACCAGAACCCCTGTACCACTGTTACCCGCCCGAAGTGGGTATATAGGGTGTAGAGTTGGACTGTAGCATGAGGAATGGAGAACACAGAAATCTTAGGGTTAAAGTTTAGTATCTACACACTTCATTTATATATTTTCTAGAAATTGAGTAAGGAAACCATCTTTGTAACTAATATCTTTTGCAGAAGAGAGAACACCAGAGCTGCTCTGTGATGGAGCTGGTGGGGTACATGGAGCCCTGCCTCTTCAGTCTCCCCACACTGCCCCCCAAGGAGCCCTAGAGTGTGGAAAGTAATGTAACAGTCCAGGTTATGGCGGGGGGGGGGGGTGGAGGAGATGTCTCCCACAGCTGCTAGAGTGGAGGGATGCTCAAGGAAGCCAGATCAGACAGGAAATCACTACAAAGGGAAACCTTTAATTGAGCACTTAGTATGTGGCACATGCTTTATGTGCCCCACCTCACAGAACTGTTATCCCCACTGTGTAGATGAAGGATCAGATCTCAGAGAGCTTAGTGCACAGTAAATGGTTCAGCCTGATTGGAATCCGACAGGCTCACTCAGGAGCTTGTTCTCTGAACAGCTGTACAGCGTTTGGAAAAAGTGCTGTCTATGTGTGGGGCTTGTTTTCCGTATAGTATGGCATCAGAGCTAGGAGAGATCTGAGAAGCAATCTAGCCACACAGAGGCAGACTTTAAATCCTGGGTCTGTCACTCACTTCCTGTGTGACCTCAGGTGGTACGTCCCTTTACCTCTCTGTGCCCTCTACTTCCCCAGCTCTAAATTGGGTAGCTCATGGGTTGGTTGTAAGTGTTCGATGAGATAAATGCTCAGTGTGTTGTTTAGCACATGCTAAGGATGCTATAAAAAGTAACAACTATTATTATTTCTAAAAAAACATAGTCTCCGTACAGGAAGTGGTGGTGTCGGCTGGGCTTGGAAGGCTGGGGTGTCTAACTCCAGAGTCTTGGCTGTTCTGGTTTTTCCACCTGTTCCTCCGGTACCATCAGCATGTCTAATGGGGGCTGTGCTCTGGACGGAAGCAGAAAGAAGAGGCTGGTCCCTAGCGGTGCCCATGCCCCCCAGTCCATGTTGCCAAGGGCCTGCCCTGGGGGAGCTGGACCATAGATGGAACCCCTCCTGTGATGGCTAGCTGGTTTTCAGCAAAGCTCGTTTTGAAGAATTTTTTCATTAGGGGATTCCCCATCCCTCCCATGGCTTTTGGTAAACAATTGCTAATGTGTTCCAGAGAGCATGTGGTCCCAGCTGTAATAAAATCACGCTTAATGATAATTAGCATTTGTAATGCATTCCAAAGTAGCACTTTGGAATCTGCCAAGTGTATTTCACATATGTTGTCTCTGTTGATTCTCACAACTTTAGGATCACGCCTTTGTAGACGGAGAAAATGAGACTTAGGGGTTGGGGACTTGCCTTGTGTCAAATAGCTGGTTGTTGGATAGAGGTCAGATTAGAATCTGTGTTAAAGCCTAGTTAGTGTCAGAACTCACCATTGCCGGGTGCCAGCCAGCTGCTCACCCAGACCCCAGTCTGAGCCCTTCCCTCTGGGAGCTACACCGCCTGAGCTACTCTGTGTGACTCATTGGCATCAAACTGCCTGAATACTCTACCTGGTTCAGCCAAGGTAGGGTGTCACTCTGTCTCATGTAAAGGAGAAGATTTGGGGTTCGCAAGGCCCCCAGTCTTTCACCACCTCCAGGATGTCTTTCATTAAGGAACTCATTAAGTCTGCCCCAGGTTCATTCCTTCCTGAATAAAATTTGTGGCTCATTTCATGCTTTCCCTGAGTTGGCCTTTCTGTGTAAGCAAGGGAAGGGGTGTCCTTTGAGAACCAGCTTCCCAGCTAAGGACAGTTGTGCCCATCCTCATCCAGTGACCAGGTGACCTGCAACTTCCCTGCCTCCTTGTCCAGTTAAGACTTATTCAGAGGCTTTTGGGGTGGGGTTGATCGGAAATGAACATCTGTCCTCCGGCCCTCTCCACGCTGGTAAGGGCAGCATCTACAACACTCCACCAGAGACCATGTCCAGCTCAGATACCCCACCCATCCCACCTCGCTTTCCTCCTTTACCAAAGCCGGAACCCGTCTTCTTCTCTCTCCTAACC